AAATAAATAAATAAATAAATAAAGGAATGCAAATGACCAGCTGTCTGCAAGGAGTATAAATCCTTCCATTCCCCACCATCCAAAGCTGAAGAAGTTTCTTGGATAGGAAGCGAAACGTCTTCAGAGAAAAACAAGAAAGTCCAGTTGCCTCATGAAAAAGCGCCTTTGGGGTACCCTGCAATAGAGGACTTGCAACTGTCTAATGTTTGGCAATAGAATTCAGGGGCATTGGCAATATCACGTTGACGATCTACGTCCCTGATTCTTTTACTATTGAATTTGGCCTTCTCCGGAGTTAATTGGCTGAAATATTCAGGAAAACAGCCAAGACTTCAACCTTCTCTATGCAGATACGCTGCTAATGAGTTTGGTTCGACTCTATAGCCGAGGCATCAGGCTGTAGAGTCAAAATGATTCTAAATGGGGCCATTGGTTGTTGTTTTTTGCAGACATTTCATTGCCCATTTAGATAACATCATCAGCGTTACAAAAGAGTGGGGAAATACAATTGGAATCTAATCCAGGTTTGAGCCTTAATACATGGCACATTAGTTTCAAGCCTCAGAACTGCACTGAGGTTGCATTTGGGGGTACCGAACAAGGCCCTAAGAAAATTTGATTGAATGGCTTTCAAACCATCACAATTTCATAAGCCCTCAGATTCGTGTACGGAGCAAGTGAACGTTAGGAAACTTGCATGATGCAAAAAGCAGCATAGATGTGATAACCCAGTGGTTCTCAACCTGTGGGTCGGGACCCCATTTGGGATCGAACGACCATTTCACGGGGGTCGCCAAACAACCCAGTCCGCCATTTTTCCCCCCTTTTCCTTAGCTGTGCTACTCCCTTTTATTCTATTGGCTTTTGAAAGCCAATAGAAGAGACTCTCTTGAATAGAGTCTAATTCTATTGGCTTTCAAAAGCCAATAGGAATTGTCCAGGCTGTCTCTGCCCTGCTGAGCCCGCCAAAAGTCCCATTCTGCAAATGGTGCTGCACCAGTTGAGTAGTCCTCGACTTACGACCGGTTGGGGGTCGCGGCATTAAAAAGGTTGAGAACCACTGTGATAACCTATCACAGACCAAGGTGGTTCTGACAGTTGCCTGGGAAAATGAACAGTTGTGAATGGGGAACTGTCAGAACAAGGTGAATGAGGACCCAGATTGTTGGGGGCAATGTAAATATATATATATATATATACATTGTTTACTGGTGTACACCGCTTAGACAGTGCTCGCACTTAAAGCGGTATATAAGTCTCATAAATAAATAAATAAATAAATTTTTGTGCCTTGGTAATTCATTTACTAAAGATGGGGAGATGGAGAATGAGGAGGATGAGGAAGAAAGAAGAGGAGGAAGAGAGGAAGAAGAAAGAAGAAAGAAAAGGAAGAGGAGAGGAAGAAGAACAAAGAAAAGAGAAGAAAGAAGAAAGAGTGGGAGGGGCAGGAGGAGAATGCTTGAATTGCTTATAAAGTCATATGGGCAGGATAAAAATCTAATCAATAAAGTGGGAAGCCTGTCGGATTGAACTAATGCTCGATAAGAGAAGCTAAATGTCAAAGTGCGAGATGGGTGTGTCAAAAAAAACAGAACAGGACATTGTCTGCAAGAGGAATGGGATACACACACAGACACATGGACACACAGACATACACACAGAGGCACAGACACATATATATGAAATATTCGTGGGGATAAACAAAAGGACGTAAAATGAGTGTGGGTGGAATCCAAAGCAAATGATAAATTTAGAAGAGGTATGTTGACATGGTTTGGTAATATAGAAGCAGGGTTTCTGGCTGGAGCATTCTGGGAGTTGAAGTCCACGCACCTTAAAGGTCCCCAGCTCCCAAGGTTGAGAAACCCTGATATGGAGAGTATAAATGAGGATTGAATTGCACAACCAATATTTGAGGGCAAAATGAATTATGTTTGTTATGGATTGTAATTTACAAGAGTTTATGACATATTTCAAGAGCTGGGTTTGCCAATGGTGATAAGCAAATTACTTATCAGAAATTACTAGATAAACTGAGCACTTGAGCCAAATGTGGTAGAGATTTATTCTGGTTCACCTCCCGAGATGAATCCAATTAATCTAATTATAGTCTGAATTAGGGGGTTCTAGGCCAGAACTCCAGAAGCTGCTAAAAGACAAGCAGTCCTTGACTTACAACCACAATTGAGCCCCAAAATTTCTGTTGCTAAGTGAGACATTTGTTAAGTGAGTTTTGCCCCATGTTATGACTTTTCTTGCCACAGTTGTTAAGTGAATCACTGCAGCTGTTAAATTAGTAACACGGTTGCTAAGTGAATCTGACGTCCCGACTGACTTTCCTTCTCAGGTCGCAAAAGGTGATCACATGACCCCGAGACACTGTAATCATCATATATGTGAGCCAGTTGCCAAGTGTCTGAATTTTGATCACGTGATCACGGGGGATGCTGCAACGGTCATAAGTGTGAAAAAGGATCATAAGTCCCTTTTTATGGCGCCCTTGTAACTTCAAATGGTCACTAAAAGAACTGCTGTAAGTCGAGGCCTACCTGTAGAACGCCCAACAGTCCAAGCAGGTGTGGTCAGTGATGAAGAAATGGAGTTCAATAACTCTTGCAGGTTGCCATTTCTCTCGTTTTATATGCTTTGTAATACTTATCTGTACTTGTTTTTTTTTTTTTTTGCTTCTATTTATAGCCTGTCCTTGATCTATTGATTCTATAAAATTCTTGCCAATTCTTGCGTTGCCTGTTGATTTCCAGAGGGAAATTGCAGGATACTCCTTTAAGATTTGGATGAAGTTGGATTATGGTGGCGGGAGTCATAGTGGGATTGACTTCCTGTGATTGTGCATCTTCTTTCTTAAGCCTGTGGATTATTTTATTTATTATCCGGAGTGTTTTGTTTGTAGGGCAAACAACTTCAACTATTCTCCAAAGCACCTGAAGGCAGGACAAGAAGTAATGGATGAAAACTAATCAAGGAGAGAACCAACCTAGAACTAAGGTGAAATTTCCTAACAGTCCGAAAAATTAATCAGTGGAACCACTTGCCTCCAGAAGTTGTAGGTGCTCCATCACTGGAGGCTTTTAAGAAGAGACTGGACAGCCATTTGTCTGAAATGGTATAGGTTTCCTGCCTGAGCAGGGGGTTGGACTAGAAGACCTCCAAGGTCCCTTCCAACTCTACTTTTCTGTTATTCTGTTAATTTATAGCTTGCCTTTCCTGCTGGTAGCCTGTCAAGCACTCCTTCCTCCAATTTTTCCTCCCAACAGCAACCCTGTGAGGAAGCTTGTGTAGAGACAACAGCTGGTCCAAAGTCAGTGTTTCAAAGCTGAGATGAGTCTTGCAGCTGCTGTTATTCTCATTTTTAAGCCTGCAAATGAAAGAGATCTGATGAGCCCTATGGGGAAAGTATGCTGGATCTCCCATGCCATTGCCAATTGACTCCCCAACCCAAGGGATCCGAGACTTGGGTCTTTCGCAGGTTGTGGGGGTTGATGCTCATCCTTCTCAAGTCTCCGGTTGGTTGATCCATTTGCAAAAGAGAAATGGGGGGAGAGGACAGGAAAAAGGAGGATAGATTTACAGAATGCACGGAGAGCGAAGGGGAGAAACGCTTGACAAGGAGATGGTGGACTGCCTTGGTTTACTTCGCTAACCTACTTTGGCCTGGCCAGCATCTAAACCAGTGGTTCTCAACCTGTGGGTCGGGACCCCATTTGGGGTCAAACGACCATTTCATGGGGGTCGCCAAACAACCCAGTCCGCCATTTTCCCCCCCTTTTCCTTAGCTGTGCTACTCCCTTTTATTCTATTGGCTTTTGAAAGCCAATAGAATAGACTCTCTTGAATAGAGTCTAATTCTTTAGTCTTTGACTTACGACCGGTTGGGGTCTCATTAAAAAGGTTGAGAACCACTGTTCTATTGGCTTTTGAAAGCCAATAGAATAGACTCTCTTGAATAGAGTCTAATTCTATTGGCTTTCAAAAGCCAATAGGAATTGTCCAGGCTGTCTCTGCCCTGCTGAGCCCGCCAAAAGTCCCATTCTGCAAACGGTGGTACACCAGCTGAGTAGTCCTCGACTTATGACCGGTTGAGTAGTCCTCGACTTACGACCGGTTGGGGGTCGCATCATTAAAAAGGTTGAGAACCACTGATCTAAACTAAGATTTCCTGTAAGCACAAATGCCTTGCTAAAGTTGAGCTGCGCTTCAAAGACAGGTCGGGCAGATTTTTTTGGGGGGGGGGGCATCAGCTCAATTGTGGCTCAACATTGTCTTCTCTCCAGAGAGGCAGCTTGTCCCCCCCCCGCAGCTAAGCCACACTTCGTTTTAACCAGGTTTGTTGAGTATGCGGCCAGGTGGATGCCTTGCGCTCCAGTCCCAAAGTTCCCAAGCAAAGCGCACTACTTAAGCAACCTAGAACTAAGGAGAAATTTCCTAACCGTGAGAATAATTAACCAGTGGAATGGCTCGTCTTCAGAAGTTGTGGGCGCTCCATCACCGAAGGCTTTTAAGAAGAGACTGGACAGCTACTTGCCTGGAATGGTATGGTCTCCTGCCTAAGCAGGGGGTTGGACTAGAAGGCCTCCAAGGTCCCTTCTGGTGATGATGATGATGATACCATTTGTCTGAAATGGTATAAGGTTTCCTGCCTGAGCAGGGGGTTGGATTAGAAGACCCCCAAGCTCCCTTCCAGCTCTGAAGCACAGGACGGCTCGGGCGTCAAGTACGAAATCCCCCTTTCTGCCCCCTCCCAAAGCATGACGGCTGCAAAGAGAGATGGGCTTGAGCGTGATCCCCAGCGCACCCATCTTCCCCAAGCCGCCGGACCCCCTCGGCCATCTTCCACGGGAAGGACTCCCACCCCACCCCACCTTCCTCTGCTTTTCCACCGCAAGCTGCCCACCCCCGCCCCGCGGAGCTTTGCAGGGCAAAGTAGCGGGACGCCGGCCCCGGGGAAGGCACTTTTCAACGGGAGCCTTCAAGCACCTGCCCATTCCCGCTAGAGGTGGACTTCTGGCCGGCGCTGACGTCACTCCTCGCCCTTACCTGCTCGCTCGTCGGTGCTGCCGAGCCCCGAGGAAGCCTCGACGCGCCTCCCGCGGCGGCAGCAGCAGCAACTCTGTGCTGGGCTTCGCGCTAATCGCTTACAGAATTCCGGATCACTTTGCTCTCGCCTGCTCAGCTCCGCTCCCGCCGCGATGTCGCTCCTGCTAGAGGCGGTGGGCTTCTTCCTGAGCACCGTCGGCTGGGCGCTGCTGGCCGTCACCCTCTTCAACAGCTACTGGAGGGTCTCCAGCGTCTCCGGCAACGTCATCACCACCTCCACCATCTTCGAGAACCTGTGGCAGAGCTGCGCCACCGACTCCACCGGCGTCTATAACTGTTGGGAGTTCCAGTCTCTGCTCGAACTGCCCGGTGAGCGGCGGGAGGCGAGATCCGGAGGGTGGTGGGAACCTGGCCCTCCGGGAAGGGGGGGGAGGGCTGGCGACCCCTCCTCCTACCCCCGGGGATGATCGCCCTGGGGACTGGGTCGGGGAAGGATGGGCGCTATAGTCCTGCGCTCCCCAAGGGCGTCGGGGTGGAAAGGGATCCGCGGATCGAGGCGGATCGCTTGCCCGGATCCTGACTGAGCAGGGGGTTGGACTAGAAGACCTCCAAGGTCCCTTCCAGCTCTGTTATTCTGTTAATTGATCTTTCCCAGCCATCGATTCGAGCGAGCAAGGTGCATCGGTGCCGTTCCCACGCCCAGAGCCCTATCGGGGGAATCTAGGTTGATTCCCAGATCTTGAGCCGGCTTTGGGGAGTCTTTTGGGGAAAATCCCTCGGTAGCTGGGGTTCCCGGACTGGCCCTTCCAGAGACGTGGGACCACAATACCCATCGTTCTGTGGTTGCAAGCGTTTGTCATGCAGGCCCCCCGGGGGGTGGGGCAGGGAGGGGTCCGCGCTGTTGGGTTGAGCGGGCTCTGGCTCTCTTTGCACCCCATTCAAACTGCGTCTCTTCCCCGCTGTACCCCAGTTGTGCTGATTGGGGAATTCTGGGAATTGAAGTTCACACATCTTTAAAGGTTTTTTTTTTTCAAATTTGAAAAACACTGCCTGGACATGCAGCTAACGGGTACCTTCCTGACTTCGATGACCACTCCATAAATCAAAGTCCGTCTCGTGCAAATCTCTTGCAATCAACCGTAGAACAATCTTTTTTTTTACCACTCGATTTAATGTGACCAATTCAGAGAATGCCACTTTATTTCATTGCAAACCTGAGGATTCTTCCTTGAGTCTTTCTGTTAAGATTTAGTACTACGGTACTTCCCTCCTGCCCTTTATTCTGCTCAACTGGCAGAAATTCAGCAGCATGGAAGGAAATTCCCCTTCCATGCCTAATACTGATCCATTTGTGCAGACATATTTCTTTGGTCATCGAGAGAGAACGATATTTTATTTTATTTTATTATTTGATTAATTTATTTATTTGGTGAAGAGTTCCTTTCCCGTGCCAACTCAACTTCTAAATCAGGCGAGGATTTCTAAGGGCTAAAAAAAGAAATAGCTTTTTCCCCCGCGGCTGCGAGCAAATCCGTACATCCCTCCGCGTATTTCCCACAGAGCCAGCAGGGGGCAGCAAGGAGCAGTTATCTGATCGTCGATAGAAAAAAAAGATAATAATTCAGATTAGATTAACTGTAAACATATTTTTGGCTACAATGGTAGTTCTCGGTGCCAGCCAAGGCTATATTTTAGGCAGTATGCACATCAATATCCTGGTAAGTTGTTTGCGGAACCAATCGCAGAGGTTCAAAAAGGCTGTGAGGTAAAGTTGTGAAACTCTCATCCGCTGTTGCCAACTTCACAAGCAAAGATGCCTGCCCTTTGCAACTTTGCATGGGCGATTAGTTTGCAGCTGTCACACCAATGTGGAAAAATGTGGTTGGTTTGGTTTCTCCTTAATGTGTTGTTTGAACTTAGCCAGTCTGGTTTGTAAACCATAGTTTGTGCCTTAGCATCTTGTGTGAAGCCAGCATACCATGGTCAAGCCATCGTTGCTAACTACAGGATGTCCTTGATTTACGGCCACAGTTGAGCCCAAATTTTTGTCGTTAAGTGAGACAGTTAAGTGAGTTTTGCCTCATTTTACAACCTTGCTTGCCACAGTTGTTGTTTTTTTTTAAAGATAATTTTTATTAAATTTTGACATTTTACAAAGACAAAACAGCCTTCCCACCAACCCCCCCAACCTTCCCATTCCCCCCCCGACCTTCCCAGAGCTAGATATAGACTTAATTAAAATTTCATCAAAAAATCTTAAAAAACAATATAAACCATAAATAAATCTAACAGTTAAAAATCTAAATCTAAATCTAAAAATCTAGATACATTAATTAGAAAAATTATAAAATAATTAACAATAGTATATATATATAAAAAACATGAATACAAAAAATAAATGTTTAGAAAAGAAAAGAATAAAAAAAGGGAAAAAAGAAGAACAAAAAAAACGAAAAAAACCCCTAAATATTCCATTTTAAATATAAATTATTAAAAAACTAAATAATATTTTTTATATCTAACTTATGTTGTATAAAATCTATCCATTTTTTCCATACTGCAACATACTTCTCTTGCGATTGATCCTTCAAAAAAGCCGAAATCTTTGCCATTTCCGCCAAATAAGAAACTTTAAGAAACCATTCTTGCAAAGTAGGCAAAGATTCCTTCTTCCAACATTGCCCTACTAACAACCTTGCGGCTGTAATTAAATTTAACATCAGTGTAGTCTCCTTAGTATCACAATCAATAACAATACCTAACAAAAACAATTGTGGGGTAAGTTTTACCCTCCTTCTAAAAATTCTTTGAATATTCCACCATACCTTAATCCAAAAGGCTTTTATATTTTTACACGACCACCAAATATGATAATAAGTAGCATCCAAATATCCACATCTCCAACATTTAGGCTGTAAGGTCAGGATACATACGAGACATTTTTTGTGGATCAAGGTGCCATCTATAAAACAGCGTGAGAACCGCGGAGTGCAGCAGATATCAGCTGTCCCGCGGCTCGAAATCCCCCTCCCGGGCGAAGGGGGGGGGGGTAGAGAATCACCCGAATAGAGGTAGAGCCTCTCAAACCCCCCAGGAATTTTTTTCTTGGGGGGTGAAAAGAGAGCTCCCTCAGAGTTCGGGTTGCCTCCGCCTCCCAGCTGTCTTTGTTCCTTTGGGAACAAAGCTTGCCACAGTTGTTAAGTGAATGGCTGCAGCTGTTGCATGAGTAACACGGTTGTTAAGTGATTCTGTCTTCCCCGTTGACCTCGCTTGTTAGCAGGTTAATCACCTGACTCCGGGATACTGCAACCGTCATAAAGATGAGTTAGTTCCCAAGCATCTGAATTTTGCTCGTAGGACCATAGGGATGCTGCAATGGTCATAAGTGTGAAAAATGGTCATGTCACTTTTTTCGGGTGCCGTTGTAGCTTCGAATGGTCATTAAATGAACTGTTGTAAATCAAGGACTACATGTATGGTAAAGGCATCCAGAGAATAAGTAGCCAATTGTGCAGTGTGAATGCCATTGTCATGACTAGAAGACCTCCTCCAGCTCTGTTATTCTGATAATTTATTATGCATTAATTATCCCAATAGGCAGGTAAAATGTTCAGAGGATTAGAAAGCTGACTGGTGTGAGAACCAGGGTTAATATGGACTAATCCAGGAAAAACCTATTTGCAAAAAAAATCTCTTTTGACGCCATTAGAGGAGAAGAGCCAGATTAGTCTCTAGTTGTAAAAAGTCAAGGAGTCAGGAAGCACCTTTTTTACACTCTGGATAGTCCTCGCCTTACAACAGTTCATTTAGTGACCGTTCACGGTTAACGACAATGCTGAAAAAAGGGACTTAGGAATGTTTTTCACGCTTACGTCCGTTGAAGCATCCCTATGGACATGTGATCAAAATTCACCCACTTGGCAACTGACTCGTATTTATGACGGTTGCAGTGTCCCCCGGGGTCATGTGATCAACTTTTGTGATCTTCTGACAAAGAAGGTCAATGGGGAAGCCGGATTTGCTTCACAATCATGTCCCTAACTTGACAACTGCAGAGATTCACTTAACGACGGTGGCAAGAAAGGTCATAAAGTGGGGCAAAAACCCCTTAACAAGTGTCTCACTCAGTAACAGCAATTTTAGGCTCTGTTGTGGTTGTGAATCCAGGTCTATCTCTAATATATTTTATGAAAAGGCAAACTTAACAGCCATCTCACTTAGCAACGGAAATGTTGGTCTCAAGTCGAGGACCGCCTGTACGGTAGCGCCTCATCCTGCGACATTTTTGTTGAGAAATCTTAGGGTTTCTTCCTTGCTCCTGTTCAAGGTCTCTTTCAAAGCATTGCTCTGTTGCGTGGATGAAAATGGCCGCCATTTGTCAATCTCTGTCCGAGAAGAATTTGCGACAGGGAAGGGGAGACGTTGGACGGGGTGAGGCTGAGAGGATTCAGACTAGAACAGAAGATGGAACACTTGGCCTCAGGCCTTCCCCTGTTCAAAGTACAGCTGGGGTGGGAGCAAGGAAACAGCCCCGTTTCTCCTTGCTTCCTGGTTAATATTTGTTGCTATGCCTCTGCCAACACAACAGGCCTTTTGTGGGATTTTCTTCTGCCACAAAGAGGCAGGACCAAAGCTGAAACGGCGGTGAGGTGATCTCTGAGGATAAAAGATCAAGAGAAAAACAATCAACCAGAAATGTGTCAGTTTTTTCCCCTCCTCACTTTTCGTCACCTTTCAAGTTCCCAGAGATGCCTTCACTTCTTAGGGTGGTACATGTTAGGGGTCTTTGTAACCAGACAAACCCTGAATGCTGGCTTTGTCGCCTGGAAGGACAATGAAGGGGTCTTGCCGCTTAAAGAGCTGGGAGAGAGGAGCTGATTGCCGTGTCAAGTCTAACATTACCTAACTGTAGCATTTGTGAGATGATTCCGGGTCCAGAGAGCAGTTTGGTCTAGTGGTTAAGGCTAGAAAGCAGGAGACTGTGAATACAAATCCCCCCTTAGCCATGAAATTCAGTTGGGTGACTTTGGGCTAATCACCAGGAGACTGGGAGTTCTAGTCCTGCCTTAGTCATGAAATCTGGTTGGCTGACTTTGGGTTAATCACCAGGAAACTGGGAGTTCTAGTTCAGTCTTAGACACAAAAGCCATCTGGATGACTTTGGGCTAGTCCTTCTCATTCAGCCCAGCTCACCTCACAGGGTTGTTGTGGGGGAAAGAGGGGGAGTCTTTGATATGCATGCTGGCTTGAGTTATTTGTAAGCTAATGAAGGTGGGATAAATCAAACAAACCATAAACAAAATTTTTCTTCTCCTTCCTTGTGACTGTGGCAGATAATACTACGTTTCTCTATAGCCATTTCCCTCAAGTTAGTGTCCTGCCAATATGCTGGACTGCAAGTCTCATTATCCCCAGCCCATGGGAATTTGGACAGGTGAGATCTCCATGTTGGGAGGGTTTCAGGTGGTGGTGGCTAGCTGGCTGCATGCTTGTTTATTTTTTAAGGAACTAGAATTTGGGGTCAATTGCATAAGCTAGCCCTTTGTCCAGGGATTGCTATGGGGTCAATCTAAGCTGTTGCTACACAGGATATTATTTTGTTCTGGGTGAAAGAAAAGAGAATGTCAGTGCAGGCTGAGACCATTGACAGAAGAAAACAAACAGGACATATTTTTCGGAGGGCGGAGTTTATTTGCTCAGCAGATAAGTCAAAGATGTTATCACATTGACCTAAAGATAACTCTTTATAAAAATAAACATTTGGTTTGGACACATGGGCAATGAATTTTTTTGGCAGGGACCACGGTTTTTCCTCCATTTGCGGTTAGCTTCAATCTGCTATAAACTCTACCGAAGCTGCAATAAACTCTGCCGGGCCTGGTTTGTTGTCGCTTAATTTAAAACCAGCCAGTCATCTTGAAATGTAAATGTTTGTCTCAGCACTTAGTTGAGTGAACCATGGTTGAATCAGCCAACTCGTTCTGCTATTATATCTGCTTATACAGGCAGTCCTTGACTTACAGCCATTTGTTTTGCAACTGTTCAAAGTTACTTATATATGAGCCAGCCAGTGTGTTGCAGCTGTCAAAAAAGCCAACACAATCCTGGGCTGCATTAACAGAGGGATAGAATCAAGTTCACGTGAAGTGTTAATATCACTCTATAAAGCCTTAGTAAAGCCACACCTAGACTACTGCCACAATGTAAAAAAGATGTTGAGACTCTAGAACAGTGGTTCTCAACCTATGGGTCGCGACCCCATTTGGGGTTGATCGACCATTTTACGGGGGTCGCCAAAGAAGGCGATCCGCCATTTTCCCCCCTCAGGGGGCGCCGCCGCGGATGCGTGCCATGCATGGGGGCGCCGCCGCACATGCGTGCCGCGCATGGGGGCGCCGCCGCGCATGCGCGGCACGTTTGTGTGGTGGGGGTCGCCGTCACACAAACGTTGAGAACCACTTCTCTAGAAAGAGTGCAGAGAAGAGCAACAAAGATGATTAGGGGACTGGAGGCTAAAACAAATGAAGAACGGTTGCTGGAATTGGGTATGTTTAGTTTAACGAAGAGAAGGACGAGGGGTGACATGATAGCAGTGTTTCAATATCTCAGGGGTTGCCACCAAGAAGAGGGAGTCAAGCTATTCTCCAAACCACCTGAAGGCAGGATAAGAAGCAACAGATGGAAACTAATCAAGGAGAGAAGCAACCTAGAACCAAGGAAAAAATTTCTGACAGTTGGAACAATTAATTAGTGGAACAACTTACCTCCAGAAGTTGTGGGTGCTCCACCACTGGAAGTTTTTAAGAAGAGACTGGACAACCATTTGTCTGAAATGGTATAGGGCAGAGGTGGCGAACCTATGGCATGCGTGCCAGAGGTGGCATGCGGAGCCCTCTGTGGGCACGCACCATCGCCCCAGCACATGTGATCTCTAAAAGTTCGCCATCACTGGCCTAAGGCCAGCCAGCCTGGAGCCGCCATTGGGGAGCCCACCATCCCACCTGCCAGAGGCCCCCTGGATCTCTCCCAACCCTGCCCGGCTCCCACAGGTGTCCCTCCCCATAAGCAACATCAAGGTGGCCATGCCCACCCCGGCTATGCCCACCCAATCTGTCATGACTACTGCAGCCATACCAATCCAGTGGCCACGCCCACCCAGTGGGCCACACCCACCCAGCACTCGGTGATATATAAGTGGGTTTTGGGTTGCAGTTTGGGCACTCGGTCTCTAAAAGGTTTGCCATCACTGGTATAGGGTTTCCTTCCTGAGCAGGGGTTGGACTAAAACAGAGGTCCCCAACCTTTTGGGCACCAGGGACCGGTTACATGGAGAGAGCTTTTTCCGCAGACTGGAGGGTGCGTGGTTTTGTGTGCTGCCTGCATCCCGCAATGGGGCTTTGCTTGTTCATGTGGCCTGGTTGCTGGCATGCTGTGGCCCGGTACCGGTCCATGGATCAGGGGTTGGGGACCCCTGGCCTAAAGGACTTCCAAGGTCCCTTCCAACTGTGTTACTGTGTTGTTCTATTACAATGGCGCTGAATAAAGTGACTTATCACTAGACTTTGCACTTATGATTGTCGTGACATCCCTAGGGGGACAAGTTGTCAAGACTGAGAAACACTGGTTTAGAAGGTGTGTGACTCTGAAATCAAAATGGCTGGCTGGAGAATTCTGGGAATTGAAGTCCACAAGTCTTAAAGGCGATAGGTTTGAAAAACACTGGTTGAACTTTTGGGAAGTTAATTGTGAATAAATATTCATGCAACCCTGATTACATTTAGTATATAAAATAATAATTAATTAATTGTAATAATTAAACTTGTCTGCATTCCTACCTCTCTTTTATCATTTGCTTATAGATACAGGTAGTCCTCGACTTACAACAGTCTGTTTAGTGACGGTTCAAACTTACAACCCCACTGAAAAAAGTAACTTATGACCATTTTTTTAACACTTAACCACTGTTGCAGCATCCCCGTGGTCATGGGATTTACATTCAGATGCTTTGACAACTGACTCACACTTACGTGATTTACATTTGGATGCTTGACAACTGACTCACATTTATGACAGTTGCAGTGCCCCAGAGTCACGTGATCCACTTTTGTGACCTTCTCAAAAGCAAAGTGAATGGGGTAACCAGATTCACTTAACAACCATGTTACTAATTTAAGAACTGCAATGATTCACTTAATAAATGGGGCGAGAAAAGTCGTATAAAGTGGGGCAAACCTCCCTTAAAAAAAAAATCTCACTTAGCAACTTAAATTTTGGGCTCAGTTGCGGTCATAAATTGAGGACCGCCTGTATAAAATAAAAAATATATTATTTTTTTAAAAAGGCAGTGGAGAAGACTCATTATTTTTGGTTTTTGTCTCCCCTCCAGCGTATCTGCAAGCTTCGCGGGCCCTCATGATCACCGCGTTGGTCCTGGGTTTCTTAGCCATTGTGAGCAGCATGGTGGGCCTACAGTGTACCAAAGTGGGTGAAAACAATCCCGATGCGAAAGCCAAGATGGCGGTTGTTGGAGGCAGCTTGTTCATCCTGGCTGGTAAGTTTCTTTCTGCACTTGTCTCTCTGGCTCTTCTCGTTGGGTGGGATTATGAAAATACAAGCAGTTCTCGACATACGACCACAATCAACCATGGTGGCGCAGTGGTTAGAATGCACTACTGCAGGCTAATTCTGCTGACTGACTGCAGTTCGATTCTCACCAGCTCAAGGTTGACTCGGCCTTCCATCCTTTTGAGATGGGTAAAATGAGTGCCCAGATTGTTGGGGGGGCCATAGGCTGACCCTGTAAACCACTTAGAACGGGCTGTAACGCACTATGAAGCGGTATATAAGTCTAAGGGCTATTGCTACTGACTTCCCTCCCTTCCTTCCTTTTCCTTCCTTCCTTCCCCTTCCTTCCTTCTCCTTAACTCCTCCCAGGGGTTAGAATGCAGTATTGCAGGCAAACTCTGCCCACTGCCAACAGTTCAGTTCCGATCAGCTCAAGGTTGACTCGGCCTTCCATCCTTTCAAGGTTTGTAAAATGAGGACCCAGATTGTTAGGAGCAATAAGCTGACTCTGCAAAACTCTTAGAGAGGGCTGTGAAGCTGTATATAAATCTCAGGGCTATTGCTGTTGCTATTGAGCCCACAAATTCTGTTGCTAAGCAAGACAGTTGTTAAGTGAATTGGGCCCCATTTTACGACCTTTTTGCCCCCCTAGTTAAGCAGATCACTGCAGTTGTTAAGGTTATCTGACTTTCCCCATTGATTTTTCTTGCTGGAAGCTAGCTGGGAAGGTTATGAATGGTGATTTTTTTTTTGCATCCAGTTTTGCTCACCCTATTATAAAAAATGTTAAGACTTTGGAAAGAGTACAGAGAAGAGCAACAAAGATGATCAGGGGGCTGGAGGCTAAAACACGTGAAGAACAGTTGCAGGAATTGGGTATATCTAGTTTAATGAAAAGAAGGACTAGGGTGACATGATAGCAGTGTTCCAATATTTGAGGGGCTGCCACAAAGCAGAGGGGGTCAACTTATTTTCCAAAGCACAGAGGGCAGGACAAGAAACAATGGATGGAAATTAATCAAGGAGAGAAGCAACCTAGAACTAAGAAGAAATTTCTTAACAGTAAGAACAATTAACCAGTGGAACGGCTTGCCTTCAGAAATCGTGGGTGCTCCATCACTGGAGGCTTTTAAGAAGAGACTGGACAGCCACTTGTCAGAAATGCTATGGTCTCCTGCATGAGCAGGGGATTGGACTGTGGTTCTCAACCTTTTTAATGCCACGACCCCCAACCGGTTGTAAGTCGAGGACTACTCAACTGGTGCAGCACCATTTGCAGAATGGGACTTTTGGCGGGCTCAGCAGGGCAGAGACAGCCTGGACAATTCCTATTGGCTTTTTAAAGCCAGTAGAATTAGACTCTATTCAAGAGAGTCTATTCTATTGGCTTTCAAAAGCCAATAGAGCAGTGGTTCTCAACCTCTGGGTTGGGACCCCATTTGGGGTCGAACGACCTTTCACGGGGGTCACCAAACAATGCAGTCCACCATTTTTTTCCCCCTTTTCCTTAGCTGTGCTACTCCCTTTTATTCTATTGGCTTTTGAAAGCCAATAGAATAGACTCTCTTGAATAGAGTCTAATTCTATTGGCTTTCAAAAGCCAATAGGAATTGTCCAGGCTGTCTCTGCCCTGCTGAGCCCGCCAAAAGTCCCATTCTGCAAACGGTGCTGCACCAGTTGAATAGTCCTCGACTTACGACTGGTTGAGTAGTCCTCAACTTACAACCAGTTGGGGATCGCGGCATTAAAAAGGTTGAGAACCACTGCAATAGAATAAAAGGGAGTAGCACAGCTAAGGAAAAGGGGGAAAAATGGTGGACTGTGTTGTTTGGCGACCCCCGTGAAATGGTCGTTCGACCCCAAATGGGGTCGCGACCCACAGGTTGAGAACTATTGGACTAGAGGACCTCCAAAGTCCCTTCCAACTCTCTTATTCTGTTATTCTGATTGTCATAAACACACGCCAGTTGACAGGTGACCAAATTTTGATCAGATGATATCACATGGGGATGCTGCAATGATCGTAAGGGTGAAAAAAGGCCCTAAGCCACTTTTTTCAGTGGTGTTGTAACTTCAAATGGTCACTAAATGAACTGTTATAAGTCAAGGACTACCTACCTGTATTCCTTTCGTTCTGTTTCTGAAGAACTACCCCTCATAGCTAGTAAGGTATAGTGCTGAACCTTCAGGACAGAGACCCATGTTCAAATCCATTGTCAGTTACGGAAATCTACCTCACAGGGTCGTTGTGTGGAAATCACCCCTGTAAGTGTCCTAGAGCTTGAATTCAATCTATGTCCCATATATATGGAAGTTTCAAAATCATCAAACTGAGAAGCGGGTGGCAATATGCCCCAAACAGTTTAAACTTTAAAAAAAATTCCATTAAATTGACATAAGAATAGTTCTTCCGTCGGATACTGGCTTTGCTCTTTACAGGTCGTCCTTGACTTACGACCACAACTGAGTCCAAAATGTTCATTGCTAAGCGAGACACTAGTTAAATGAATTTTGCCCCACTTTACTACCTTTCTGGCCACAGTTGTTGTGAATCGCTGCAATTAGTTAAGTTAGTTTCAGGGTTGGGAAATGAATCTGGCTCCGCCATTGACTTTGCTTTGTCAGGCGGTCACAAAATGGGATCACATAACCCCAGGACACTGTGACTGTCATCAATCCATCAATTGCCAAGTGTCCGAATTCCATGGGGAATGACGCAACCGTCATAAAAGAGTCATAAGTCAGCTTTTTCAGTGCCGTTGTAACTTAGAACGGTCACTAAAGAAATAGTTGTAAATCAAGGACTATATGTACAAGGCTACAAGGATACTCTACTAACATTTTCACTTAAAAGAGCAAACTGGCCTACAAGAAAGACCAAATGAAGAACAGAATAGAGGCATGGGAAGACAAAGCACTACATGGCCAATATGTTAAAAAAATAGCTGGGAAAGCAGATAATAACAAGACCTGGCAATGGCTAAGAGCAGGAAAATTGAAGAAAGAGACCGAGGGACTAATTCTGGCTGCACAAGACCAAGCCTTAAGGACAAATGCATATAAAGTCAAAATTGAGAAGACAGCAACAGACAGTAAGTGCCGCCTATGCAAAGAAGCTGAAGAAACAGTGGACCATCTGGTAAGCTGTTGCAAGAAGATTGCACAGACTGACTACAAGCAGCGGCATGACAAAGTAGCAACAATGGTGCATTGGAAGATCTGCAAAAAATATCATTTGCCTGTAAGCAAAAACTGGTGGGATCATAAAATAGAGAAAGTCATAGAAAATGATAAAATTAAACTGCTCTGGGACTTCAGAATTCAAACAGACAAGCACCTGCAACATAACACCCCAGACTTAACAATTGTCGATAAGAAAGACAAAAAAGTCTGGATAGTGGACGTGGCAGTGACTGGAGACAGCAGAATAGAGGAGAAAGAACTGGAGAAGATAACAAAATACAAAGACCTACAAATAGAAATAGAAAGACTGTGGCAAAAGCAAGCAAGGGTAGTACCAATAGTCATAGGCTCCTTGGGTGCAATCCCAAAACAACTGGAGCACCACTTGAACACCATTGGCATTGACAAATTCGCTATTAGTCAATTGCAAAAGGCGGCCTTACTAGGAACTGCTTCCATCCTGCGACGATATCTGTAATACCATCAAACATCCACATCTGCCTATCCCAGGTCCTGGGTAAGGACTCGATAGGTAGACAAAATGCCAAATCCAGTCTGAACATCTGGCTGACTGTGCGATGATCCATAATAATAATAATAGTTGGAAGGGACCTTGGAGGTCATCTAGTCCAACCCACTGCTCAGGCAGGAAACCCTATATCATTTGAGACAAATGGCTGTCCAGTCTCTTCTTAAAAACTTCCAGTGTTGGAGCATTCACCGCTTCTTCATAGCTTCATTGCCACAGTGCTTCTTATGGTTCTTTATTACTTGATTCAATTTGCATATTACTTGATTCCATTTGTACAACTGCACATTTGTGAGTCTTCTTCCAAATGAAGGCATTGTCCTTCTCTCTAGATGATCCCTTGGCCCTCCAGTTATCGGATTTCCAAAAAAGCAAATCCTGTCAATCCACTCAAGGATTCACCCCAAAGCTGTTTCTTACCCCAAATGTCCTTTTTTCTCCCCCCTATTCAGGTCTGTGCGGGATGGTGACTGTTTCATGGTACGCCTTCAATATCACCCGGGATTTTTTTAATCCACTCTTTGTTGGGACAAAGTAAGTATCCAACACCTGGGTTCAAGGTTGAAAAAAGAGAATGGCAGGATGGACCATTGATTGATTTATGTTTTATATTTTATTTATATCCCGCCTTTGAGCGGCCTGGTGACCTAGTGGTGAAAACGTTGGCCTCCCACTCAGAAAGTTGAGAGGTCAATCCTAGGTAGTAGCAGATGTTTTTTCCCTAGGGTGCAAAGAAAATAATATCTACTGTGAACTCCAGAGGCATCAGGAAGGGCATCCAGCCAGTAAATGCTCAACTCCAACCAATCACCCTACCTCTACTCCAAATTAAGGGATTACAGAGTCGTAAAAAGGGAGTTTTATTTATATCCTACCTTCATTATTTTTTATAAATAACTCAAGGCAGCGAACATATCCAACACACCTTCCTCCTCCTATTTTTCTATAGCTGGTGTCTTAATGAGCCCCAAATGAGGGTTTTTAACAATTTCTTGCTCCTACTGCAGAAGATTGAAACAGATTCTTTTTTTTTTTTTATGGGATAGAACAATTAAGATGTTGCCTCCGGATCTCAAGTTAAGTTCCTACTTAAAGATGTTGTTCGCTAGGCGACTTTAGAACAGAATAGCAGATTTGGAAGGGACCTTGGGGGTCTTCTAGTTGGACAAATGGTTGTCCATTTCTTCCAGACAAATGGTTGTCCATTTGTTCCAGACAAATGGTTGTCCATTTCTTCCAGACAAATGGTTGTCCAATCTCTTCTTAAAAACTCCCAGTGCTGGAACATTTACAACTTCTGGAGGGAGAAGTTGTTCCACTAGTTAATTGTTCTGTCTGTCAGGAAATTTCTCCTTAGTTCTAGGTTGCTTCTCTCCTTGATTAGTTTCCATCAATCTTGCCCTGCCTTCAAGTGCTTTGGAGAATAGCTTAACTCCCTCTTCTTTGTGGTAACCCCTGAGATATTGGAGCACTGCTATCATGTCACCCCCAGTCTTTTTTTTCATTATAAACATAGCTAATTCCAGCAACTATTCTTTATATGTTTTAGCCTCCAGCCCCCTAATCATCTTTGTTGCTCTTCTCTGCACTCTTTCTAGAGTCTCAACATCTTTTTTACATCGTGGTGACCAAAACTGGATGCAGTATTCCAAGTGTGGCCTTACCAAGGCATTATAAAGTGGTGTTAATGCTCCACGTGATCTTGATTCTATCCTTCTGTTAATGCAGCCAAGAACTGTGTTTGATTTTTTTGGCAGCTGCAGCACATGACTGGTTCATATTTAAGTGATTGTCCACTAGGATTCCGAGATCCCAGGACTTTGAGCCAGTTCTTAGGACTCAGCCCACCCTTCCTGGATAGAGACATCTTAAAATCCTTCCATAGATCCACAAAAGTGAAATGTCAATGCATCAATCAATTAATCAACCAACCAATCAATTATATTCCTTTGCTTATTTAGATACGAAATTGGACCTGCTCTTTATCTAGGCTGGAGTGCCTCCTTGCTGGTGATCATCGGAGGCTGCTTTCTGTTCAGTTCCTGTCGGACCAACTCATCCCAGGACCACAGGTGAGAGCCAAGCTGACATGCCAAACACAGGTAGCTCTTGACCTATGACCCAAATTGAGCCCCAAAAGTAAGTGAGTTTTGCCCCAATTTACCACCTTTTTTGCCACAGTTGTTAAGTGAATCACTGCAGTTGTTAAGTTAGTAACATGGTTGTTAAGCGAATCTGGCTTCCCCATTGACTTTGCTTGTCAGAAGATTGCAGAAGGTGAATCACATGACCCTAGACACCGCAACTGCCACAAATAAGAGTCAGTTGCTGGGCATCTGAATTTTGATCACATGACCATGGGGATGCTGCAATGGTCGTAAGTGTGAAAAACGGTCATAAGTCACTTTTTTCAGTGTTGTTATAACTTTGAACGGTCCCTTAAAGAACTGTTGTAAGATTTCAGAATAGAATAGAGTAGAGTAGAGTAGAGTAGAGTAGAGTAGAATAGAGTAGAATAGAATAGAATAGAATAGAAGTAGGTCAGTGATGGCAAACTTTTTAGGGACTGAGTGCCCAAACTGCAACCCAAAACCCACTTATGTATCATTGGGTGTCGGGTGGGCGTGGCCCATTGGGTAGGCATGGCTTTGGTGGTAACGGCAGACTGGGTGGGACTAAAAAATTCAATCAATCAATTCCAACTTTGCGAGATCTTTTTTTTTCCCCGCGAGAAGTTGAAATTGATTGATTGAACCTTTTTTTTTTTTTTTTGCACACGGCGGCGGAGACCTAAAGCAAAAAGGTTTTATAAAACCCAGCTGAAGGCCTAGGACTGGGGTGATGGCACGCGTACCCACAAAGGGGCTTTGAGTGCCACCTGTGGCACACGTGCCATAGGTTTGCCACCACGGGAATAGGTCTTTGTCTCCGGCTTCAAGAATTGGGGAATAAATGTCACCACAGCCCTATTTTCTGAAATCTTATTGAATCCAAACACTGACATCTCTCTCTTCTGCTCTTAGCTACACATATCCCTACAAAGCTCCAAAGAGTGGCATGCCGGTTGCCAACCCCTCAGTCTCTCGTCCCCGTAGAGACTCCAACGCTAGCAGTAATGGCCAATATGGTAAGAATGCCTACGTCTAGCCCGGCAAAGGGTGGAATATGACATCTGTTCAGGTTGGATGCTTTCCTGGCAACGCTGAATGCCAAAGACTCTTTCAAAGATGACACATACCAAGGGAGAACCTTGTTTATCCTTCAGTTTGGACTTTCTTACGTCGTGAGGATGCTCTGAACCAAGAGGTGGACTGAAGGCATGTTTCTGGATCTGATCCTGGCCAATGCCACATTGGGCAAAGTTATTTATTGCCAAGAAGTGTAGATGGACTTTTAATATATATATATATATATGCATTGGTATAGGTATTCAGCATGGATGGAGATTGCTTCTCAGATTTTTTGATGTCTCTTGTCCAGAATAATTGATGTTGCCTACAACCGGGTCTGAAACTCAAGTTAAGTCACCTCCTGTGGTTTATCACTCAAGGGGACATGAATGTATGTGTGAAACAATTGATCCGTGCTTGGAGGACATCAAAACTGGAGGCCTACTCATAGTTAAAAATGCTGGGATATCCCTAATAGAGTGGAGATTTACTTCCCAATTGGATTTTTAGGTTTCCCTCCAGTCAACACTCCTATCTGCTGGAGACGCTAAATTTTGTGTGAATGTGTGTGAAACCTTTTTTAGGGGAAAATGGAGGTTTAACCATTGGATCAAATGATACTGTTATTACGATTGCCTTAAAAAACGCCTCAGCACTGAAGCAAAAGTATCCAGGAAGACCTTCAATTTTGAAAAAGCATGCCACGTTCACAACCCTAGCAATTTTATATTGCGTGGACTTCAACTCCCACAATTTCTGGCTGGGGAATTCTGGGAGTTGGAGTCCACACATCTTCAAGATGCCAAGGTTGAGCTATTGGGCTATGGCTTATTCTGATTTGTTGTCTTCTCTGAATTGACTGTCTTGGGTTGGATGGCCTCCACCTATGGATATTCTGGTCTCCCACCTTTCCCCAAAGCCATGTTCAGGAGGGAGATTAGCAGCTGGACACCTGCTTCCTCCATGCATCTAGATTCTAGAAAGCTAGTTTTGAGATCTTTAAAAGAAAATGGACCTGGGTAATCGGTTTCTTCAGGAAGGAAATTAAGATACAGCCAACCGAAAGAGGGAACCCTTCCCATTTTGAGATCTGGCAGACCTTCAAGCATCTTCATGGGCTTTGGTTTAGAGCAGTGTTTCTCAACCCTTGCAACTTAAGACATGAGGACTTGCACTCCCAGAATTCTCTACCCCAGTGGTTCTCAACCTTTTTAATGCCGCGACCCCCCAACCGGTCGTAAATCGAGGACTACCCAACCAGTCGTAAGTCGAGGACTTTCCCTGCCCAAGAGCGCTGCACATGCGTGGTGCCGCCCCCTGCACCAGCTGAGGCGTAGCTGGCAAGCGGCAGAAACAGCGCAGGGCGACCACTGGCTGGACCACCAGCTGGCCCAGCCCAAGGGAGGTAAGGCATCCACCGGGCCCCATGCGCGCCAGCAACCCTCCCTGCGCCCGCTGGCCTCCCACCTCCCACCCCTGGCCCTCTTTTACTTACATTTTTAGTAGTTGCTCAGCAGGGAGGGGTGGAAACTTCCAGACAGCTTGCCTTCGCTGCAGACAACTTGCAGCACCATTTGCAGAATGGGACTTTTGGCAGGCTCAGCAGGGCAGAGACAGCCTGGACAATTCCTATTGGCTTTTGAAAGCCAATAGAATTAGACTCTATTCAAGAGAGTACAGCTAAGGAAAAGGGGAAAAAAATGGTGGACTGCGTTGTTTGGCGACCCCCGTGAAATGGTCGTTCGACCCCAAATGGGGTCGCGACCCACAGGTTGAGAACCGCTGCTCTACCCAGAGGATCAAGTTGTAGAGGTTGAGAAACGTTGGCTTAGAGGAGTCATTCTTTAGATTATTATGCAAAGGAAGTTAAGAAGGAAGCTGAACAGGAATTTTAGCAGCACCTTTTTTTTATTATGGGGCTACGTATTGATCAAATGGAGGCGCTGAGCAAATAGTGACTTGGCTTCCTTCCTACCCGCCCAAGAATTGGAGCGACACATTCATGGACATGAGGACATTTTGAATTGTGTTGCATCTTGGAACCACAAACTTTGGCTTCCTTGCTGCTGAGGAGCACAACGCAAGTATATTGTGATATATTTTTTAAAAAAGAAAGAAGTAAGCATGTCTGTGACCTGTTTTATATAAATAGACACTGTTTACAACCACAGTATCCATTGGGAATTGTCGTCTTTGGAGTTTCAACAGGAAAAGTCGGAAAGGGTAAAGTGGGAGGGGAGTCCACAGATACATGAGCCAGTTTAAACGAGGTAAGTGATCTAACTGGCTGGGGTTGCATAGCGCAGTGGTCCCCAAACTTTGCTGCTTGGCAGTTAAGCTGGGGAAAGGGAAGAGGAACCGGGTCTCATGAGCAGCGGCCTGGCATGCACATGTGTGTGCCAGGCTGCTGCTCGTGCAAGTGGAGCTGCGTGCGTGGGTGCACACTGGCCCGCCTCTCATATGGCCCGATTCCGAACAGTAGTGGGCCATGACCCGGGGGTTGGGGACCCCTGGCATAGCGGAGCACACGTGCATTTCAACCTCACCTCTGGTTCGAGCCCAGCCGTATCACATTTATAGCACTTAGACTTATATATCGCTTCACAGAGCTTTCATAGCTCATCTTTTCATTGGTACACCATACTAGTCCTCAAGAAGGAAAATAAATTAAATCACAGCCGGCAGGTTAGTGCCATCCTGGAGCTTTCTTTTCAGGTGACATAAATGCCAGGGGTTGTGAAAATTGGCAAAAAAAAAAAACAATACCTCAAGGGAAAATAAGTCTGCATTCCTACATTTTTTTCTTTTAAATACTTGTGTTGTGCCATTCCTGTGTTACGTGATAGAGAAGGAACCCTGGGGCAAGGTTTCCTCCTGTACCAGCAAAGGTTTTTCTTCCCTACCGCTGCGTCCTGAACATACCTGGGCCATAGTGCAAGGCACGTGTACTTAGAAGCAAGGCATCAAAGCCAATGGCCTTCTTTACAAATCAACATTTAGGGATGTGGCTACATTTTTGCAAAGAAAAAAAGTAAGGTTCTGCATTTAGGCAAGAAAAACCAAATGCACAAATATAGTATAGGTCAGGGGTGTCAAACGGGCTGAATGCGTCATGCGGAAGCCGCGCCCACCTGATTGCCAGCAATGGCAAAACTCTTCTGATACGTTGCGTGACGTCACATGATGTCACAAATTTGACATGTCTGGTATAGGTGGTACCTTGCTCAATGGTAGCAACCGTGAGAGGGATCTCAGAATCCTAGTGGACAATCACCTAAATATGAGCCAGCAGTGTGCTGCAGCTGCCAAAAAGGCCAACACAGTGCTAGGCTGCATTAACAGAGGGATAGAATCAAGATCACGTTAAGTATTAATGCCACTCTACAATGCCTTGGTAAGGCCACGCTTGGAATACTGCATCCAGTTTTGGTCACCACGATGTAAAAACGATGTTGAGACTCTAGAAAGAGTACAAAGAGCAACAAAAATGATTAGGGGACTGGAGGCTAAAACATATAAGAAACGGTTGCTAGAATTGGGTATGTCTAGTTTAATGAAGAGAAGGTCGAGGGGGGACATGATAGCAGTGCTCCAATATCTCAGGGGCTGCCACAAAGAAGAGGGAGTCAAGCTATTCTCCAAAGCACCTGAGGGCAGGACAAGAAGCAACGGGTGGAAACTAATCAAGGAGAGAAGCATCCTAGAACTAAGGAGACATTTCCTGACAGTGAGAACAATTAATCAGTGGAAGAACCTGCCTCCAGAAGCTGTGAATGCTCCAACACTGGAAGTTTTTAAGAAGAGACTGGACAGCCATTTGTCTGAAATGGTATAGGGTTTCCTGTCTGAGCAGTGGTTGGACTTGATGACCTCTAAGGTCCCTTCCAACTTTATTATAAGAAGTCTGAGACAAAGAGCTATTCCATTCCCTCTTCTGTTCTCTATTCTATTCTATTCTACTCCATTTCTAGCCTAATCCCTATCCTATCCTAATTATTCTATTCTATTGTATTCGACAGCACTGGGTCAGAATAACAGAACAAAAGTTGGAAGGGACTTTGGAGGTCTTCTAGTCCAACTCCCCACTCAAGCAGGAAACCCTATCCCATGTCAGACAATGAAATGGCCATCCAATCTCTTAAAATCTGGAGCACCTACAACTTCCGAAGAAAAGGTTTTCCACTAATTAATTGTTCTAACTGTCAGGAAATTTCTCCATAGTTCTAGGTTGGTTGTCTCCTTGATTAGTTTCCATCCATTGCTTCTTATTCTGCCTTCAGGTGCTTTGGGGAATAATTGGGGTCTCCCTTTTAGGATGTGCTGGAACAAAACACTGTGTGTTGGTCAAATGATTATTAAACCAAAGTCTTATAAGCAAACAATGGAAGCACTGTTGCTTATGTTGCTTTGCAGGCATTGTTGCTTGTGTTCGGTAGAAATAAGCTTACTTTCCGCAACCAGCATGCATTTATTTAAAAAAAATAACCATCTTGCCCATTTTTTTTTTCCTGTGGATTGAGTGGTGTCTAGCATTCACCACCCCCTTACTTTGATGACTTTAGGAAGAAAAATCAGGCAACACGGGGCTTGTTCTTAGGTCGTATTTTTCCACTGGATGAAACACTCAGCAGATGTTGTGTTCTCTTGGAATAAGTACACTTGAAACACGTTGGCAGAATGTTCCGAATTGATCTATTTAACTCAGAACTGGAAACAAAAACATTTCTGTTTTATTCACAGCCCTACCCCTCCGTACTCCAGGCTTACCCAACTGCACCCATTTTAAAACACTCGCTTTCAACCTGAGTTAAAACGTGTTTTTCCCCCCCCCCCCCCTTTCTGGCTCAGAACTCAGAGGCAAATTATCCTGAACCTTCAGCCTTCTCAACTCAGCATTTTTTGTCGCTTCCTCAACCTTTGCTCCAGCAAAATGCCAAAGGTTCAAAAAAAAAAAAAAAATCAATTGTTTCTGCAATACGAAACTTTTAATCTTGACACTTTCTTGGTAAAGACAGGAAATTAATACCTCTCCTTAATCTTTTTTTGTTTTTTTTTTTGATAACAACCGAAACAGACTGGGCTTTATGTAATGACTGTACTAGATAGAAATGATGGAGGAGGAGGAGGAGGAGGAAAAAAAAATAATTTTAACCAACTATAGAAAATGAGGGCTGTTCACAGTCAGTGGTAGAGCTGTCGGCCTAATTGATTATGCTTGAAAAATATTAAATTCTGGGACAGGGGAATTTCACGGAGAGGTGAAAGGTATCAACTTTTGTCTCCGAATCCATACTGTTCATGTTCTCCTCCAGTATTTAAGAGGAGGAGCAGTCAATGTGCAAAACCAACATCCAACAATAAAGAATACAATCCAGAAAGGCTTACAGCAACCTTATTTCCTCCCCCCTCTTTTTTTCCAGTCTGACGCAGAGGCTCTCTTCGCTGCCTTTTCGAGCAGACCTTGCCCCAAAGTTTATTTCCCCAACTCCTTCCCTACCAAGAGATGGCACAAACAACACAATTCTTTGCAGGAGCCAGCTGGTCTTTTCCCCCCATCGACATCGGTTATGGAAACCATCCCACGCAATGGCGCAACTCAAACGGCAACATGTCCGGCCAAGCTTCCCTTGGGAAGGTGAACTTAAACGGCAAGCTTTCCTTTAAAAAAGAGAGAGAGAAAAAGGAAAAAAAAAAAAAAGGGGGGGCACACCTTCACCTTGCTCGGATTTAAAAAATGAACGGTTTCCGTGGCAAAGGGTTGCGAATTGTCAGGTTGGCAAGAACTTCTTCCAGTCTTGCAAGTACAAAGAAGAACTTGAGAAATGTTTAGATGGACTGGAACGATGACGCTCAACCTAACTTTGAAAATGTCCCTAAGAAAGGCAGGATTCGCAGACGGGGTTTCAGGCTCTGCATGCATCGTAAAACCCCTTGGACAGTCACTTTGTGGGAGTCACAGTCAGAAGCAAGAGGTCACCATCTTCCTTGGGGTCCTGGTTATTATCTCGAGGAACAAACTTCTGGTCATCTGGAAAGGGATGCTTGAATATATAAATAAGGAAACTAACCTCCCTCCCCGCCTCCACTGCGTAGGAGTTGTTATTGTCCTCTTTGTGCGTCAACTCACTGGCCAAGGTGTTGCATTTGTCTTCGGGGCTCAGGCGGATTAATTAAAATGAAACTTAAAATGAAAGGTCCCGGAGCCAAAGGGGTTAAATTCGGACGCCCACTGGTGCTGATGTCCTGATCCTCCTTGTTGATTCTCTGGGTCTAAAGGATCCTCACCAGAGTCAAATTTCTGTCGCATTTCTGGAAGGGAGGGAGAGAAATAACAGAATAACAGAGTGGGAAGGGGCTCAAGCAGAAGCCCCTACACCAGGGGTGTCAAACTCAATTTCATTGAGGACTGCATCAGCATTGCAGTTGCCCTCAGGCGGGGTGGGGAGGCCAGGGTGGGTGCGGCCTACTGGGTGGGCGTGGATGGAGTGGGTGTGGCCCACTGGGTGGGCATGGCCAGCTCTACATCGTTCGCGTCAAGGGTGCCTGTGGGGGCCTGGGCAGGAATGGGATAGATCTGAGGGTCTCTGGCAGAAGGGGGTGGGACCAGGGCAAGCGCCAAGGCATGGTCCATTTCTTCATTCCTCACAAAGGGTGACACCTCCCCAGCGTTCATCCAGGGGACGGGGCCAACCCGGCAGGGGCCAATCCCTTGCTGTTTCCAGACAGCCTTGTGGAGCTAAGACTGAATGCGTTTCAGCATAGAGGGCCACCACAAAACTGTACATTGGCTCCCTCCTGGCCGGCCTGGGCCAGGGCCAAGGCAGCGGGGGCCGTTCCCTCACTGTTTCCAGGATGGCTTCGGGGGCCACATAAAACCACTTCGCGGGCCGCATCCAGCCCCCAGGCCTTGTGTTTGACATGTCTGCCCTACACCATTTCAGATAAGTGGTTGTCTAATCGCTCCTGAAAAGCCTTCAGGGATGGAGCACCCACAGCAACCAAACAAGAAGACGTTAGGAGTGGGTGGGAAGAACAGGCCCCCAAGTCTTAGTTTGATATTGTCCGCCCTCTCAGGAAAGCTATAGGGGAAACACAACCAGATGCGACACTTCTACTTTATCGTAAGGCTACATTAACAGAGTCTTGCAAGTTTGAAAACATACATCTCCCATCATCACGTTTAACAATTAGGGAGGATCCTTTTTAAGCTTCTTTCTGGGTACTTCTTGCTTCTATCTGATCCTTCCCTAGTCAGCATCTCTTCTCCTGTCCCTCAAGGTCATTCCCACAAACCATTACAGATATTTACCATACCTACTGGTAGATAATTCCCCCCCCCCCCGGCTTCCAGTTTTTCTGCTGTTGTCCCAAAGATGCTTTTTCAAAAGGCAACTGGACATATATTTTTTTTCCTGAAGAAATTTCGCTTCTCATCCATGAAGCATCCTGAAGTTCTGACTGAAGGCTGGGGATTGAATGCCATGTGCTCCATCGTTGCAAGTTTTTTTAAAGAAGAGATTAGAACAGTGTTTCTCAATCTTGACAATTTTAAGGCATGTGGACTTCAACTCCCAGAATTCCACAGCCAGCAATGCTGGCTGTGGAATTCTGGGAGTTGAAGTCCACATGCCTTAAAATTGTCAAGGTTGAGAAATACTGGATTAGAAAACTGTTTTGCCCCCAAACATCCCTTTCGGAGAAAAGGAGAAGATGATAAAGCAATAGCACTTAGACTTATATAGCGCTTCACAGTGCTTTGCAGCTCACTCTAAGCGGTTTACAGAGTCAGCCTATGGCCCCCAACAATCTGGGTCCTCATTTTATCGACCTCGGAAGGATGGAAGGCCAAGTCAACCTTGAATTGGTGAGACTTGAACTGCCAAACTGCTGACAGCTGGCAGTCAGCAGGAGCCTGCAGTACTGCATTCTAACCACTGGGCCACCAGGCCTCAGAAGCCTATGCATGTTACCTGGATCTGTCAGGACCTCTTTAGCAGCTGCGATGTCGATGAATCTTTTCTCAGCTTCCTTCTTCTCATCTTCCGACTGGAAATTGTCGGGGTGCCACTGCTGAGCCAGCTTTCGGTATGCTTTGATGATCTCCTGCTTGTTTGCATTCCTGGGGGGAGGGATGAGAAAGAGGCCTGTTTAGGCTAGGACAGGGGTAGGCAACCTTGGCTCTTTTATGACTGGTGGACTTCAACTCCCAGAATTCCTGAGCCAGCCCTGCTGAGGGGAAAGGGAGAGGTTTCCAAGCTGAGCCATGCTGGCTCAGGAATTCTGGGAGTTGAAGTCCACGAGTCATAAAAGAGCCAAGGTTGCCTACCCCTGAGCTAGGGAGAGCTGAAGCCTCATCCCTTTGGGGGCCGGAAATTAGCTCCATGGTGTGGATTATACACAGGAGAAGCCCCATGTGTCTTCCTTCTGCCGGTGGAAATAGGGAGGCAGGTATAATTGCAGATTGCAGGAGATAAATTAAAAAGATGCAACCTAACATACTCCTTTTATCTACAGTATGTCCACAATGCTATAATTATTGGAGATTTACAGTCATACACCTAGGTAAAATTATTTTTAACTGACACGCCCATAAATGAGTTTAGAGCCCAAGCAGTGTTTTTTTTTCGTTCTCACCAATTATATAAAGATAGTCCAAGATGGGAAACTTATGGTGCTTCCATAAATTGTGAACTATAATTCCCAGCAGCCAACAGGGTCAGAAATGGGAGGATTTGGGAAGCTGTAGTTCAGCAATAGGGGGCAGGTGTCATGGCTCAGCGGTTAAAGATGCCGAGCTTGTCAGCTAAAAAGTTGACAGCCCAGGTTCGAGACCCGGGTGCCACATGATGGGGTGAGCTCCTGTCCTCGCCCCAGCTCCTGCCCATCTAGCAGTTTGAAAGCAGGCAAATGCGAGTGGATAAAATCGGTACCACTTTGGTGGGAAACTAACAGCATTCCATGGGCCTCGATATATAGTCATGCTAGCTGCATGGCCCCCGAAGCATCTTCAGATAATGCTGGCTCCGTTGGCTAAAAAACGGATACGAACACTGCTCCCTACAGTCGGACACGACTGGACAGGGGAAATTTTTACTTTTAGCTTTGGTTCAGAATATTTGGAAAGGCCTATGACAGTGATGGCGAACCTTTTAGAGACCGAGTGCCCAAACTGTAACCCAAAAGCCACTTAAGTATCGTCGGGTGCTGGGTGGGCGTGGCCCATTGGGTGGATGTGGCCAATTGGGTGAGCGTGGCCCGTTGAGTGGGTGTGGCTGTGGTGGTAATGGCGGACTGGGTGGGACGACCAAGTTCAATCAATCAATTCCAACTTTGCGAGATCTTTTTCTTCCCTGCAAGGTTGAAATTGATTAATCCATTGAACATTTTTTTTTTTGCACACAGAGGCGAAGGGCTAAAGCTAAAAGGTTTTATAAAAACCACCTGAAGGCCAAGGACTGGGGCGACGACGCGCATGCCCACACAGAAGGCTCTGCGTGCCACCGGTGGCACGCGTGCCATAGGTTTGCCACCACGGCCTATGATATCTACTCCCGTTCTCACTTTTACGAGACTCTGCAATTCTGAGCCATTATGTGGTCTGCTTCTTTGGAGCTATGTTTGAATCTACCAATTATGGCTTGGGTGGGAACAGGCTGTTGTGGCTTAGTCAACAAGCTATGGTTTAAAAAAAAAAAGGCTTGGCTGAACATGCTGTTCGTTCAAGCCAGATGGCCTTGTTAATGTAAATAGATTTTTTTTTTCCTGGCAGAAAGAAGTGCAGCAGCTGTTCTGGCGTCCCAAAATCATTAAACCAGGACTTCAACCTTCATGGTTACAGTACAGTACTAGGTTTTAATGTTCTATTACACGAGAATTCCTCTCAGCAGTTTTAATCCCGGATTGTGAAAGACTTGGATACCAAAGATGAACCTGCTTACCTCTGAATTCCAAGGATTTTGTAATAGTTCCTCTTCTTGGACTGTTTCAGCAGTTTTTGTGCCCGCTCTAGCCCCTCTTTTAATTCCTCATTTTCAGCATCAAATTCTTTCGCTTCTTGATAATCTTCAATGGCTGGAGATTAAAAAAAAAAAAAGCTAGTTTTAATTCTTTCAACGAGAAAGCTTCCCCCCACCCCCTAAGCTTTGACCCTTTGGTCAAAGACTTTTATAGAATCCAGCTGAATGGAACTATGCAACCTTCATCTGCAAGTACTCTGCAGGTTATCGGCCATTCTCCAAAAACAGACAGGGGCAGGACTCCTGTTTAGAGACAGTGTTAATCCCATGGGAGCCATTTTAGTAACGTTTAAGGTGTGAAGTGTCTGGCAAGGTTCAGGGCACCATCCCAAAGATGCTTTTTTTTTCTTTTCCCCAAATGGCAACTGGACTGTCTTGTTTTTTCTTTTTTATTTTGAAAACATTTTTGAAGCTCCTTGGATGAGAAGCAAAATGGTTTCAAAGGTAAAAATCAAGAAAGCCCAGTTGCCTTTTGGGGGAAAAAAAAATCACCTTTGGGACAACCACGATCTGGATGACTGAGAACCTCCACTGATGTTCAATTTTACCTCTTAACTTCCAAAATGAGAAAAAAAATGAAAGAACAGGAAAAGAGGTCTGGAGTGTACGCCTAGCCATCTGGTTTGTGTGTGTGTGTGTGTGTGTGTTTGGAGGAATTGCTGGTGAGACATATCTCTCTCCCCCAATGGCATTAAAAAAGAATTCTGAAGTAGAATTAGGTGTACGATTGTAACACAATACAACAGAAGAGATTCCATTTAAGGAAGAGTTCTGTGTTTGGTCCCATTTTTCTCCCTGCTAATAATGAAGTGTTGGGTTTGTTTGTTTTTTTTTTTTTAAAAAAAATACACTCCCAGGTTCAAGATAGATGTTTCGATCGCTTTTTATTGCCTCTGGATGAGATTTTTGGGTGGGCTGGAAATGAACAATCCGACTTCTGTATTTTGTGATTACAAAGGGGTTTGACTGGGACGATAGGTTTGCCAAGAAATGGATAAGCCAGAGAACCAGTTTGGTGTAGCGGTTAAGGCATCAGGTTAAGAACCGGGAGACTTTGAGTTCCAGTCTTGCCTTAGGCACGAAGCCAGCTGGGTGACCTTGGACTAGTCATACAATCTCAGCCCTAGGAAGGAGGCTGTGGCAAAATCGCTCCTGAGAAGCCTTGCCAAGAAAATGGCAGGGACTCGTCCAGGCAGTTTCTGAGATTTAAACACAGCTGAACTGAAGGAAAAATAAATAAGCAAAAGTAGGTTAACCCTGGGGTGGGAGGAGGAAGAAATGGATCGGATGAGGTTCCCCCTGGGGTGGGCATGAGATGGCTCGGATGCTGACCTTTCTCAAATTCTTCGTTCAGGATGAAGGCCTCTGCTCTGTCGCGCAGGACGAAGGTATTTCTGGGATCAAGCTGGTGGGCTTCACTGCAGAGATCTATTGCTTCTGCAACCCGTTTGCTCTGCGATAAGAGGTAGAAGAGGACTGCCATGTGTGGTGCTCTTTTGTCGGCTAACCCCATCCACACATCCCCTCCGGGTCCCGATCGTCTGCTCCAATTTACCCCCTGATAGCAATAGCACTTAGACTTATATAATGCTTCACAGTGCTTTCCGGCCCTCTCTAAGCAGTTTGCAGAGTCAGTCTGTTGCCCCCAACAATCTGGGTCCTCGTTTTAACTGACCTCGGAAGGATGGAAGGCTGAGTCAACCTTGAGCCGAACTGCTGACAGTGGGCAGAGTTTGCCTGCAATACTGCATGGCAGTAGGAGCGAAGGGAGGAAATGAAAAGGCAGGAAGAAAGGAAGGTAGGGAAGGGTAGCAGCAATAGCACTTAAGACTTATATACTGCTTCACAGTGCTTTCTAGTCCTCTCTAAGCGGTTTGCAGAATCAGCTTATTGCCCACAACAATCTGGGTCCTCATTTTAACTGATCTCGGAAGGACGAAAGGCTGAGTCAACCTTGAGCTGGTGAGACTCGAACTGCCAAACTGCTGGCAGCCAGCAGTCAGCAGAAGTAGCCTGCAGTGCTACATTCTAGCCACTGCTCCACCAGGGCTTGTGATCTCACAATGGGGTTCTTAACAACACGCTCTCGGTTTAATTGTTTTTACTTAACTGTTTAAGAAATCCATAAGGCTTTCCATGTGGAATAGTGTGATTCTGCACAGCTTAGAAATAGTCCTTGTGTTATGACCATAATGGAGTCCGCCCATTATGGTAATAACGTCTGGTTATTCGGGTTTTCTCCCACGTCAAATTGGAAATGTCTTGGCGACGTTTCAATGAAGTCTCATTTGTCATCTTCAGGCTGGTGAGCACTGCCAACCCCCCAGCCAATCAGAGCACAGCCAAGCCCCTAACCAATCAGAACACACCACCACCCAATCAGAACACAGCCAAGCTCCCACCCAATCAATTCATACCCCCATTAGCAGTTAAAAGGAAGAAACAGCTAAGACCACACATTGCTCCTCGAAGCACAAAGCCGAAAACACCAGCCTGAAGATGACGAATGGGACTTCGTCGAAACGTCGCCAAGACACTTCCAATTTTACGTGGGAGAAAACCCGAATAACCAAAGACCTACATACAAACACCCACGAAAACCTCAGAAATATATATATATATATATATATATATATATATATATATATATATAGTGATGGTCATTAAGCAAACGGAGTGGTCCTAAATGCGAATACCCGGTCATTAAGCAAACATGGCAGTTATAAGCGTGAACCCTGAGTCATTTAGCAGTGGTTGTAAGTGCAATCCCATTTGTTGTGGGTGCGGTTTTGCTGGAAATTGCTGTTTTTTGGCAAAACCGCTGCAAAATGGGGTTATGTGTCGTTGGGGGAATGCTGCAAATGCCTGAAGTGTGGTCATGTGACCATGGGAGGCATGAACATCAGAACTTGGATCTGGGTTGTAAGTCCCCCTTTTCAGGTGGACTTCTAACGGTCACTAAGCAACCGAGGACTACCTGTACAATGAATCCCCCAAATAAGCAAAAACAGCCAATTCCACCAGAATATAAACCAATACTCGCTAAGTCATCAGGAACTTGCAATTGTTATCCCCCTCAAAATGGGGACACCCATTATCTTTTCCAAGGAAAAAGGCAGGTTTTTAATGCCTTTCGACTGGGCCAGGTGGATTGGACAAATAAACCCATCCTGTGTCATTACTTCCAGTTAGTTGGGGAAGACTCAAGGGAATTCTTTGGGCAAAATATCTGGACAACCTTTGTGGTGGGCAATTTCAGAGTCCTTGCACATGCCTTGGGTTATGATTTCTATTATCTCTGACTGACATGGTCCTCCAAAACATCTGGAGAAGATCAGCTTGCCAAGGGCTGCAGATCAAGGACCACGTCCCCATTTATACAGGAATGAAGCAAAATCTCAGATAAGTGGAGCAACAGAACCACAGACAGATAGATAGAGGCCTGATAATAGATCCAAGAAGTAAGCACAGATCCCCATTTCAACTTTATGAGATTAAGCAAGGCATTCACACTTCCTCCTGCCTTTGGTCACATTATACCAAATCAGGCAGCTTCCCAAAGAGGTTGGTTAATCGCCAGGGGCCCAAACGTTTGATGGAATTGGGTATGTATAGTTTAATGAAAAGAAAGACTATGGGTGACATGACAGGGAGTCAAGCTATTCTCCAAAGCACCTGAAGGCAGGACAAGAAGCAACGGATGGAAACTCATCAAGGAGAGAAGCAATCTAGAACTGAGGAGAAATTTCCTGACAATTAACACAATTAACCAGTGGAACAACTTGCCTCCATAAGTTGTGAATGCTCCAACACTGGAAGTTTTTAAAAAGAGATTGGACAACCATTGGTCTGAAATTGTATAGGGTCTCCTGCCTGAGCAGGGGGTTGGACTAGAAGACCTCCAAGGTCCCTTCCAATTTTGATTCTGATTCGATCTGATTCCATTCCACTCCGCTCCACTAATTATTATTTCCAGATTCATTTAGAAGGAGTTCCTCAAATTCAGCTTCTACCTTGGATAAACAGTGGCAGATCCGTCCTTTCGCTTTTATGGTGTAGATCTCTACATTGGGTTCTGTTTTCATGGTTGCTTTGTACTTCTCAATGGCATCTGCATATCTGTTATTAGAGAACAGCAGAGAAGAAACAATATTGGACAAGGAACACAGCTAGTGAATGTTGATATAGCAATAGCAATAGCACTTTAACCTATACACCGCCTCCCCGGCACTTTACAGCAATTTCTGGGTGGTTTATATTGTACGTATTTTTCACGTATTGCCCCCAACAATCTGGGTCCTACCTAAAAGGGGTGGGCATTCTTTTGCCCCATTCCTGGAGGGCAGGTACAGTCCATGGGGTATTTAGCAAGGGGGGGGGGGGAGGATGATCTCACCAGGGACAGATTAGCATTTTTGTTTCCCCATTCCTGTTTCAGGATTTTGGGCTTTAAAAAAATTAATTATGTCGGTGCATTAAATCAGGGCTTTTCAACCTTTTCACTCATTGTACCACTTTTAGGATATGGCAACATCCGAGTACCACCAGTCGCCCAGCAAGGTGTCAAAAACTTGATGACCCCCCCAAAAAAGGAAAAAAGAGATAAAGTACAGGTAGTCCTCGACTTACAACAGTTCACTTGGTGACTGTTCGAAGTTACAATGGCACTGAAAAAGTGCCCCCCAAGCCACAGCCGAGCATGACACCTAACTGCCCACCTGGCGGCGCTCTTCCTCCTGTCTGTTGTGAGCATTTCTGTTGAGGATTGGCAGCGGGGGTGGGGTGGGGGTGTATTTGATCTTTATTCCTCCCCCCGTCTGCTGGGTGGTTGCAGCAGGTTTTGGTCATTTCACATGACCCTGGGACATTGTGACTGTCATAAATATGAATCAGTTGCCAAGCACCTGAATGTAAATCACAAGACCCTGGAGATGCTGCAACATTCCAGCTGATCAGCGCTTCTTCTGGGCTCAGCAGAAGCACCAGGATCAGTGCTGCTTTCCAGCTGATTGCTGCTTCTTCAGGGCTCAGCAGAAGCACCAGGATCAGCGCCGAGCTCCAGCTGGAGCCTGGCACTGATCCTGGTGCTTCCACTGAGCCCTGACAGCCCCGAAGAAGCGCTGATTCTGGCGCTTCCGCTGAGTCCTGACAGCCCTGCAGCTCCAGCCATCTCTCACTCAGGCTTGTGCGGTGCTGCCACCGGTTCAGCTCATTCCCCTCCCCCGCTACCACTTTTCTAGGATGTTCGCGTACCACCTTCCAGGTGTCAATGTACCACAGGTGGTACCCATACCACTGGTTGAAAAGCCCTGCATTAAATGGCTAGACTGCTTTTGCAAGCATCAGCTATTATGAAGCACTCGGGTTAGAGTTTTGCTTCCTTAAAAGTGAAAAAATAGATTCAGCTCTCATGCATGAAAAAAAAAACCCCTCCCAGAATATGACAGAAGAAAATGAAAATTGTGACGGGGTTTCATTCTGAACGGTGTTAGAGAGAAGAAATATTCTGTGTTTCATGGCAAGACAAATTCCCCTGGGAAACTTTATCCAGAAAATGAAATGGGAAGGAAGTGGCCCTTCAAGCAACTGATAATAGACTACTGCTTTGCCTTGTTATCTTTTAGAATTTGCTACCATCACGTGTCAGGGAAATAAAAAGGTAAAGGTAAAAAGTTTATCCTGTCCAGTTGTGTCCAATTCTAGGGGACAATGCTCATCTCTGTTTCTTGGCTGAGGGAGCCAGCATTGTCTGAAAACAATTTTTGTGGCCATGTGGCCAGCATGGTTATAGGCCAAAAGCGCACAGAACGCTGTTACATTCCCACTGAAGTGGTACCTATTTATCTACTCGCATTTGCCTGCTTCTGAACCTCTAAGTGGGCTGGAGCTGGGACACGTAACGAGAGCTGACTCCGTTCCGTGGCACTTGAATCTCAAACCAGGCAGTCATTTTCCAGCTGACACAAACTCCCATCATGCCCCCCCCCCCACAGTCAGGGAAATGGCTACTGACTTACATGTTTTCAGAGCTAGTGAGTAAGACGTTATTTTCAAATAGTTACCTAACCCCACCCTTCCACAATTTTGTTAAAGCTACATTGAAAATGTCGTAGAGATAATCCCCAGCTTACAATTGCAATTGATTCTGGAATCAATTTGCCAGTGTCAGTCGTTAAGCAGATCACTTCTTTTGCAGAGATCCACCATGGTGGTTAAATGAACACATCGGTCATTAAGCATAGCCATTTCCGCAATGGGTGGCTTTTTTTTTTTGCCAAAACCTGGAAATAAATGCGTTTCTGGCAAAAATAAAAAAGTTGTAAATAACAGTTGTGTGGCCTCAGAATGCTTTAAACAGCCATTTGCTGAGTGCCCAAAATACGATCACATGAAATGAAGGACAGAGGGAGGACAGCCATTGCAACTTCAAATTTTGGAGCATAGGTAACCCTGGGGAAGGCTGTGATAACTTTGAATGGTTGCTAAGCTAAGCAACTGGTCATTAAGTTGAGGACTATCTGTATACTAATAAGATGCTTTTTATGATCAAGCCTGTCCTTAGGGTACTCCAGTTACAAATATTAAGTTGGTAAACGGGGACACATCCCATGACTGTAATTCTTGAGAGCCACCAAACTCAAAAGTCGTAAGCTTCAAAAATGAAAGTCCTGATTCACATCGGTGCTCCTCATGGAATATCAAAACAAGGACCTGAATTTGCAAAATAAGCATAATCAGAAGTAGACCTCCATATTCCTTGATCCCGTTTCTGGGATTCCATCAGAGAGGATCACTTCATATCCTTACCAGCATGCCCAAGTATTTTATTCATGGTTCTTGTGCCATGCAACCTCAGTGTGTTGTAAAGGTAAGTTAGGTGGCGCACCATGTGGGCTGTTGAAATCTCAGTAAATGTTAAGGCCAAAGTCAGCTTAGATAGGACATCCATGCAAACCGAGAACCCAGGATGGGAAGATCACCTCTGAGCTTTGATGTGCTCCTCAGCAGATTCCAGCTGCTTGGTGAGCTTTTTCACTTGCTTGTAGTGGGAAAAACAATCCTTGTCGTCTTGGTCCAGCTTCAAGCACTCACGCACTTGGCTGTGGAAAAGATTGAGAGTGAGAACTGAAAGAGGGAGATGTTTGAAGCCACCCAGGCAGGGAAACTGAGGCAGAGAGAAGCCCTTCGCTAAGGGGTCTCTTAGCTGAATAATGTCCCCCAGAAGTGATAGCAGTATTCCAGTATTTCAGGGGCTGCCACAAAGAGAGGGTCAACGTATTTTCCAAAGCTCCTGATGGCAAGACAAGAAACAATGAATGGAAACTAATCTAGGAGAGAATCAACCTGGAATAAAGGAGAAACCTCTTAACAGTGAGAATAATTAACCAGTGGAACAGCTTGCCACCAGAGGTTGTGGGTGCTTCATTACTGGAGGTTTTTAAGGAGAGACTGGACAGCCAATCCATAGTTCCTTCCAGCTCTATTCTGAATTAAAGCTCCAGAAGGAGGAAGATAAGCAGACAGCTCAAAGAAATTGAAGTCATAACAGAATAACAGAGTTGGAAGGGACCTTGAAGATCTTTTAGTCCAGTGGTTCTCAACCTTTTTAATGCCGCGACCCCCCAACCGGTCGTAAGTCGAGGACTACTCAACCGGTCGTAAGTCGAGGACTACTCAACTGGTGCAGCACCATTTGCAGAATGGGACTTTTGGCGGGCTCAGCAGGGCAGAGACAGCCTGGACAATTCCTATTGGCTTTTGAAAGCCAGTAGGATTAGATTCTATTCAAGAGAGTCTATTCTATTGGCTTTCAAAAGCCAATAGAATAAAAGGGAGTAGCACAGCTAAGGAAAAGGGGGAAAAAATGGTGGACTGCGTTGTTTGGCGACCCCCGCGAAATGGTCGTTCGGCCCCAAATGGGGTCCCGACCCACAGGTTGAGAACCACTGTTCTAGTCCAACCCCCCTGCTCAGGCAGCAAACTCTATACCATTTCAGACAAATGGTTGTCCAATTTCTTCTTAATAACTTCCACTGTTGGAGCACCCACAAGTTCTGAAGGCAAGTCGTTCTACTGATCAACTGTCAGGAAATTTCTCCTCAGTTCTAGGTTGGTTCTCTCCTTGATAAGTTATGAGCTTCTCTTTCCTATGCATGTTTTTTTTTAATAAAACTGCTTTTGTATCTGACTTTACTCCATTCATACATTCTAGATCAGTGTTTCTCAACCTTGACAATTTTAAGGCATGTGGACTTCAACTCCCAGAATTCCACAGCCAGCATTGCTGGCTGTGGAATTCTGGGAGTTAAAGTTCACATGCCTTAAAATTGTCAAAGTTGAGAAACACTGAGATGTTGCTGTTTATTTATTTATTATAGCCCCATACATGATTCTGGGCCGGCCGCTCACAGTGTTAACATATACACAATACCCTAAATAACCAAAATTATTATTTGGTGCATAATGAGAACATGACAAAGAGACAAAATAAAAACCATTCAAACACATTAATAATAACAAAATCATTAAAATCATAGGGAAAAAAAATGTAACCTGCAAAAGCACAATCCAGCCTATTAACAATACTGCCATTTTGAAGGCTCCACCCTACCAGATTGCAGACAGCTGGTCATTTGCATTCTTTTAGAAAGTTATGGAGGCCACCTGGAGGTTAATCTGTGTCCTCAGGGTTGTCTGAGTGGTGCAAAATGCACTATTCAGATTTTACACTACTCAGATGACCCTAAGGACTCCAGGTGGCCTCAACAACTCTCTGAAAGAAGGCAAATGACCGGCTGTCTGCAAGGAATAGAAATCCTTCCATTCCCCACCATCCAGCCAGAGCTGAAGAAGAGAGTCCAGTGGCCTTGCAAAAAAAAAAACATCTTTGGGGCAATTATAACCTGGATGACTGAGAATCTCCACAGACATTCAACCCACAAGCTTGGAGAGCAAACTTTCACCCTCATGACCTGTATATATTTCAAGGTTGTGGAAAGATACCACATCAGATCTGTTTATTTGCCGGTGGTTTCTATACTGTCAGTTGTCAGATCATAAGCTCGACCCCACCTATCCTTATCCCTGGGATCATATGTAAATGACAAGGGTATGGGTATGTCTGGGAAAGAAAGCCAGCTTGTTCATAGTACGCTGACTTGGGCTCCCAAATTCTGCTAAGCCATCATGTGACTTCCCTAATTTGGGTTTGGCATGTGTGAAGGAATGCAGACTTGGCCTTGAGAACAGGGAAGAAGTAACCCTGCCATTAAAGGGGAAGTTTCAGAAGAGATGAGTCAGTCTTGAGTGTGAGGAGGAGAAGAAACTCAAATCGACCCCACCTTGAGTTTATTTGGCATACAGTGGAACAGAGAAAAACTCTTGATAGGCTTTTAAGAGACTGCTTTTCTAGCTTACATCGACAAAAAGCATTCTGGGATTTTGGGCTACATCTCTTTTTCTGACCTGGCCTTGCTTGAAATGCTTGCAAACCACATTCACAGCATCACATCCTGAGCAAATTCAAACAACTGTGATTTATGCTATATTTTTTGCTTAAGTTTTTTAAAGATTTAAAGCAGTGGCTCAAGGGTGGCCTTTCGCAAAAGTAACAGTAATAGTAGTAAAGTTGGAAGGGACCTTGGAGGTCATCTAGTCCAACCCCCTGCTCAGGCAGGAAACCCTACACCATTTCGGACAAATGGCTGTCCAGTCTCTTCTTAAAAACTTCCAGTGTTGGAGCATTTACTGCTTCTGGAGGCAGGCTGTTCCACTGGTTAATTGTTCTCACTGTAAGGAAGTTTCTCCTTAGTTCTAGGTTGCTTCTCTCCTTGATTAGTTTCCATCCGTTGCTTCTTGTCCTGCCTTTAGGTGCTTTGGAAAATAGCTTAATTCCCTCTTCTTTATGGCAGCCCCTGAGATATTGGAATACTGCTATCATGTCCCCCCTTGTCCTTCTCTTCGTTAAACTAGACATACCCAATTCTAGCAACTGTTCCTTATATGTTTTAGCCTCCAGTCCCCTAATCATCTTTGTTGCTCTTCTCTTTACTCTTTCTAGAGTCTCAACATCTTTTTTGCATTGCGGTGACCAAAACTGGATGCAGTATTCCAAGTGTGGCCTTACCAAGGCATTGTAAGAGTGGTATTAATACTTCACGTGATCTTGATTCTATCCCTCTGTTAATGCAGCCTAGCACTGTGTTGGCCTTTTTGGCAGCTGCAGTACACTGCTGGCTCATATTTAGGTCTTCATATTTAAGTCTCCTAAGTAAATATTTTAAAATTTTCCAATTTCATTTTCCAATACAGTAAATGTCAATCAATATAAACCACATAAAACCAAACTCTTTGAGGTCCTCTACCATTTTTGAAAAGGAAAGGGGTCCTAACATTAAATTGTTTTGAGAACCACTGACTTAAAGCAATGGTAAATTTAGGCACAATCTTTCCTGTTCGTCTTCTGACACGCTATGGAGTAATGCCCGCACTTCATTTACAGATAGTCTTCATTTAACTGTCACAAGTGGGACCAGCAACTCGATAATTAAGTGAAGTGGTCACTAAGTAAAAGCACAAATGTGCTTAGGATCTTAACTTAGCTTTCCTTTTTTTTATATGGACAGGTTGTAAATGCAAGGATTGGTTGCAAAGGTTTTTTTTTTACCCATCACCACTGTCACTGTGAATGGTCGCTAAACGAGACAGTCGCTACATAAGGACTGCCTGTACTAGCTTCAGATCATTAAATTCACCCTTTCTGCCAGATCTGTGTTGCTGTTCTCATTCACATTCCATAGGACATCACAGGAAAGACTGTGGTCAATTTCATACAGGTAGTCCTTGACTTACAACTATCCCTTTTAGTAACCGTTGAAAGTTACAACGGCACTGAAAAAAGTGACTTATGACAAGTTTTCGCACTTATGAGCACTGCAGCATCCCATGGTCACATGATCAAAATTCGGACCTTTGGCAACTAGCATGTATTTATGACGGTTGCATTGTCCTGGGATCATGGGATCACCATTTCTAACTTTCCTTCTGGCAAGCAAACGGAAGCCAGATTCGCTTAATAACTACATGATTCACTTAACAACTCTGGCAAAAAAAAAAAAGTTGTGGAACGAGGCAAAGCTCACTTAACAACTGCCTTGCTTAGCAACAGAAATTTTGGGCTCCGTGGCAGTCGTAAGTCGAGGACGACCTGTAGCTCATTTGAAAAATGGAAATTGGAAGCAAGCTGCTACTGTTTGCGTGTCTCAATTTTTTACCCTTGAATCCCAGCATTCCGACCTTGGGATGATGCTGGGGGTCTCTGGAAGAGTGGTGCTGGGGATGTCAGTGGTCTCTGTGTTGCCACCTGCTAGGGATGTACACCAAAAGCATGCACACACGCACACACACAAACACACACACATACGAGACATCGCATTTACGTGGCTCACTCACGTTAAGGACTCTTCGTGTTCTCCCAAGTTGTAATACAGCTTGCTGAGCTTAAGGAAGGCGGCCCTGTTGTCATTCCGCAGCTTAGTGGTGGGCTTCAGGTCCATGATGGCCTTGTTGTAATCCCCAAGATGGAGGTAGCACTCGGAGCGTAGCTCTTTGGGCTCTGGATCCCAAGGGGAGATCTGAAAGCAAGCCAGGGGGCAATTGATTTTCTCAGTCTAATTGTGGTATCATCATCATCGGACAGGACCCTGGAAGTCATCTAGTCCAACCCCCTGCTTAAGCAACAGACCCTATATCATTCCAGACAAATGGCTGTCCAGTCTCTTCTTAGAAGTCTCCAGTGATGCAGCACCCACAACTTCTGAAGGGATGCCTTTCCACTTATTAATTGTTCTCACTGTTAGGAAATTTCTCCTTAGTTCTAGGTTGCTTCTCTCCTTGATTAGTTTCCATCCGTTGCTTCTTGTCCTGCCTTCAGGTGCTTTGGAGAATAGGCTGACCCACCTTCTTCTTTGTGGCAGCCCCTCAGATATTGCAAGACTGCTATCATGCCACCCCTAGACCCTTCTTTTCACTAGACTATACTTTATGCAATCTTCCTAACCACATGTTCTCCAGATGTGCTGCAGCAGAGCACCAACGCCCAACACTCTACAACCATCCAATCAATTTAGCGTTCGCAGACTGAACAAAGCCACTGGAGAACCCACCACTTGGGAAACATTCCTCATTTCTGAAGGAAAAAAAAAAAGTTTAAATATTGCCTGCAGGGCCTTGCGATCATGCGTGAAAATTGTATTGGTCTGCACTTCTCTTCTGCTGAATGTATCAGAATAAAAACACATCAAGAAATAAATTCTGCTTAACAATAGCAATAACACTTTGATTTATATACCGCTTCATAGTGCTTTTCAGCCCTCTCTGAATGGTTTAGAGCAGCGGTTCTAAACCTGTGGGTCGCGACCCCTTTGGGGGTCGAACGACCCTTTCACAGGGGTCGCCTAAGACCATCGGCAAACACATATTTCCGATGGTCTTAGTCGTAAAGCAGCGGTTCTCAACCTGTGGGTCGCAACCCCATTTGTGGTCGAACGACCATTACACGGGGGTCGCCAAACAACGCAGTCCGCCATTTTTTCCCCCTTTTCCTTAGCTGTGCTACTCCCTTTTATTCTATTGGCTTTTGAAAGCCAATAGAATAGACTCTCTTGAATAGAGTCTAATTCTATTGGCTTTCAAAAGCCAATAGGAATTGTCTAGCTGTCTCTGCCCTGCTGAGCCCGCCAAAAGTCCCATTCTGCAAACGGTGCTGCAAGTTGTCTGCAGCGAAGGCGAGCTGTCTGGAAGGTTCCAGCCCTCCCTGCTGAGCAACTACTAAAAATGTAAGTAAAAGAGGGCCAGGGGTGGGAGGTGGGAGGCTGGCGGGCGCAGGAAGGGTTGCTGGCGCATGTGGGGCCCGGCGGGTGCCTTACCTCCCTTGGGCTGGGCCAGCTGGTGGCCCAGCTGGTGGTCGGCCTTCTCCATCTCTGCTGCTTGCCAGCTACGCCTCAGAGGGCGCAGGGGAAGGCACCACGCATGCGTGGCGGTCCCGGGCAGGGAAAGTCCTCGACTTACGACCGGTTGGGTAGTCCTTGACTTACCACCGGTTGGGTAGTCGACTTACGACCGGTTGGGGGTCGCGGCATTAAAAAGGTTGAGAACCACTGCCGTAAAGCATTCCCAAGAGCACGGGAGGGATTCAGCAAATAAAGCAAACACTGGGGAGCAGTCGCCAGAAAAGAAAGAAGCTGACATCTCTCACCTTCTCCCTCCGCGCAGCTGGGCTCGAACCGCGAAACTAGCAATTCCTGGCAACATGGCGGTGCAGGAGGGGCACAGAGAACCTTCTGCCGGGCCCTTCTCTTTCGGCTTGCCCGCAACTCCACCAAAAAGGCCTTGAGCCACAGTGGCGAGATTCGACTGGCTGAGGGGGTCGCTCTAGCTCGAGCAGGAGAGCCATCTCTATGCTCCAGGCATCCAAAGGACTGGCGCGCGAGGGTTGGGAGTGGTCTCGGGAAGGGAGGAAGTAGGGAAGGAGGGCAAGCTCGGGCTCAGCAGACGATGGGTGGAGCGGAGCAGCAGCAGCAGCAGCAGGATAGGGCGGAGCGGGGCTTTGCGGCACCCACGGGCCAGGCACTGAGACTGGCAGTTTAGCAGCGACTCCCCTTTGTGTCTGGACTAAGAACAGAGGAGCCGCTGTCAGCCAGCCAAGCCCAGCTGCCGGAGGCAGGGAGGCGACACGAGAATCCCCCTGCACGAAGCCTTCGCGGCCACGAAAGGAGGGAGGGGGAAGACAGAAAGAAAGTGCATTTTTCCAAGGGCTGCCTAACAGGAAAGGCCTCTTTGCGCCGGGGCTGCTTGGAGCCCAGGAACTGGGAAGCCCTGATTTGCTGCTGCTGCTGCTTCGTAGAAACGCCAGGCCTTTCTGCCCATTTCCTGGGTTGGAGTTATTTCCTTTTCCGCGTCCTTGCGTGCGTGTGGGTGGCGGCATTAGGAAGGTTGAGAACCACTGGTTTAGAGAGTCAACATACTGTCCCCAACCATCTGGGTCCTCATTTTATTGATGGAAGGCTGAGTTAATCTTGAGCCGGTCAGGATCGAACTGCTGGCAGTTGGCAGAATCAGCCTGCAATGCTGCATTCTAATCCCTGTGCCACCAGGCCTCTTAACAGCCTTCTTAAGGACTTCTTCACGGAGCCCAGAAATGCTATGTGCGCTACATTGCTGCTTTGAAAGGCCTGTGTTCAGACTTCAAAGCATCTAAATACCACAGACATAGTTGGGACCTATTTGACCTCAAGCCAAACTACACATACTGATCCTTTTAGAATCCTTAGATTCTAGTGCCCAGAGAGCTGTAAAACACGGAGATCATTCTAGGACAGCAGAAACGCCCAAGCGATTTTTTCCTGCTGGTCACATACCGCTAAACGACGTTCGCTTAGAGAAGATGAATGAAGAAGGTACCTCAATGACTCGATCCAGAAAACTGACTGCTCCCAGATAGTTTTTTTTCTGAAAAGCAGTCTGAGCTTCTTGCATGGAAAATTCTTGCTCCACGACCCTGGACAACTGGCTCTGGGCTTCTGCATCCTCCGGATTGCTCTTGAGCTGATGAAAGTGGTTTAAAAAAAAAAAAAAAAAGGTTAAGCGATACATGCTGCATATAAAAGGATGCACATAGCTTGCATTCCTTTGTGGCATATATTAAAGAGAAATGCTCAGTTCAAACAGATCGGGACAGTGGGTTTGTTTATTTAGCAATGTTTCTATTCCACCCAGCTCCCGAGACTCTTGGGTAGCCAGCAATTAATAAAACAGAAACTCATAAAATAACAACAATAATCATAGCAAAATAAGGATGGGATCGAAGAAGAAATGACTGAAATGCCTGCGGGGGGGGAGGAATAATCTTCGGCTCTAGCTCTTTTTTTATTGAAATTTTTTAAAGTTTTACAATAAAATACTCCCCCCTTCCCACACCCCCATCCCCCTCCCCCCTCCTTCCCAGAGCTGAATACAGGGTTAAAAACAACAAAAAACATACAACTTAAATGAACATCAAACAATTATACATACATCCAAAAAACAAAAATTTTAAATACTTTAACTCCGGTACATAAAAACAGGGATTCTAACCATTACCCTTAACATAAGTTATTCAAAAGCTAAGTAATACTTTCTAATCTCAGATTTATTCTGTATAAAATTCACCCATCTTTTCCACACCAAAATATATTTCTCTTGCGATTGGTCTTTCAGATAAGACGAAATTTTTGCCATTTCAGATAAATAAGAAACTTTAAGAAACCATTCTTCTAAAGTAGGCAAAGAGTCCTTCTTCCAATATTGCCCAATCAGCAACCTTGCCGTTGTAATTAAATTCAACATTAAAATAATTTCTTTAACATCACAATCAACAATGATACCTAACAAAAACAATTGTGGTGTAAATTTTATCCTTCTATTAAAAATCTTCTGAATATTCCACCAAATCTTAATCCAAAAAGCCTTTACATTTCTACATGACCACCAAATATGATAGTACGTTGCATCCAAACAACCACATCTCCAACATTTAGGCTGCACATTTGGATACATACGAGACATCTTTTGTGGATCAAGGTGCCACCTATAAAACATTTTATAAAAATTTTCTCGTAGATTTTGAGGCTCTAGCTCTTAATCTGCCAATTTTTCCATTAAAAAAAAGAATCAGGGCTTTCTTGCTACAGGAAAACACTGGCGTTTGGACACCGTACGGACTTCAGGGGGCTGAATATCTCACAGGAACAAGCATTTAAAAGTCCCGCTTCCAGGACTACCTCCCACACCCTTGCTTGAGATGTCAACAGGAGAATGAAAGCATCACTGTATGATACATCAAATGGGATGGGTAGATTCCAACCTACGGTCCACATGTGGCTGGAGAAATACTCCGGTTATCTACTGGACTGATACTCTTAGTCACCCCTCCTCCCCTATTTCAAAAAAGATATTTTCTGTAACACCCTGGTTTTAATCCAAAAACCCAGGCTGTCAGCTATGGGTTACCCCAGAGGCCTCCAACCTTGGCAACTTTAAGACCTGTGGACTTCAACTCCCAAAATTCCTCAGCCAGCTATGCTGAGGAATTCTGGGAGTTGAAGTCCACAAGTCTTAAAAGTTGCCAAGGTCGGAGGTCCCTGGATTACACACTAATTACACAGGCAATCCTCAACTTACATCGACAATGGGGACCAGGATCTCCCCATCTAAGCAAGGTGGTGGTTAAATGAGACATGTCTGATTTTACATTCTTTTTTTTTTTTTTGTCGCGGCTGTTAAATGAATCACTGCAGTTGGTTCAGTGAATCGGGTGGTCCTTGAATGAATCTGGCTTTTTCCACTGATTTTTGTCAGAAGCCAGTTGGGAAGGCTGCAAATGGCGATCACACAACCCTGGGAGGTTGCAACTGTTGTAAATGCATGCCATAAATATACACATTCATATGTAGAAACTATAATACGAGTATTCAGATTTTGATCAGTGACGGTGAGGATCCTACAACGGTTGTTAAGTTATACCTTCGAACTGCCACTAAACAAATCATTGTGAGTGGAGGACTACCTCTATAGCAGGGCTTTTCAACCAGTGGTACGGGTACCACCTATGGTACATTGGCACCTGGCAGGTGGAACACGACCATCCTAGAAAAGTGGTAGCGGGGGAGGGGAATGAGCTGAATCGGTGGCAGCACCGCACAAGCCTGAGTGAGAGATGGCTGGAGCTGCAGGACTGTCAGGGCTCAGCGGAAGCGCCAGGATCAGTGTCTCTTTCCAGCTGATCGGCGCTTCTTCGGGGCTGTCAGAGCTCAGCGGAAGTGCCAGGATCAGTGCCAGGCTCCAACTGGAGCTCGGCGCTGATCCTGGTGCTTCTGCTGAGCCCTGAAGAAGCACCAATCAGCTGGAAAGCAGCACTGATCCTGATGCTTCTGCTGAGCCCAGAAGAAGCGCTGATCAGCTGTAATGTTGCAGCATCTCCAGGGTCTTGTGATTTACATTCAGATGCTTGGCAACTGATTCATATTTATGATGGTCAGTGTCCCAGGGTCATGTGAAGTGACCAAAACCTGCTACAACCACCCAGCAGGTGGGGGGAATAAAAACCAACCATCCCCACCCCACCCCCGCTGCCAATTCTCAACAGAAATGCTCACAGCAATGAAAACCTCGGACAGGAGGAAGAGCACCACTGGGCAGGCAGGCAGGTGTCTTGCTCGGCTGTGGTTTGGGGGGCACTTTTCTCAGTGTCATTGTAACTTCAAACAGTCACTAAGCAAACTGTTGTAAGTCGAAGACTACCTGTACTTTATCACTTTTTTCCTTTTTTTGGGGGGGTCATCAAGTTTTGGACACCTTGCTAGGAGACTGGTGGTACTGGGATATTCCCATATCCTAAAAGTGGTACAATGGGTGAAAAGGTTGAAAAGCCCTGCTCTATAGCACCATCTCCTGGACAAATGCATTCAGGTGGTTCTCGACTTACAACTTAGTGGACTGTGTGAATGTGACACGATGGCACTGAAAAAGGTGACACGATCGTTTTTCACACAGCATCCCCATGGTCACGTGATCAAAATTCAGGTGCTGGGAAACTGGCATGTATTTATGATGAATGCAGGTTCTTGGGGTCATGTGATCCCCTTTTGCGACCTCCTGACAAGTGAAATCAATGGGGAAGCCAGGTTCACTTCACAACCACGTTACGAAGAACAACTGCGATGTTTCACTTCACGACTGTCGCAAGAAAGGCCATCAGATCGGGGCAAAACTCACCTAACAACTGTCTCGCTTAGCAACGGAAATGTTGAGCTCAATTGTAGTCGTAGGTCCGAGGACTACCTCTACAAGTAGTCCCCAACTTACGATCTCAACGGAGCCCAAAATTTATGTTGCTAAGTGAGAAATTTGTGAAGGGAATTCTGCCCCATTTTTACGACTTTTCTTGCCAGGCTGGTTAAGTGAACCGCTGCAGTTGTTAAATTAGTAGCACGGTCATGAAGGAAATCTGGCTTTGACTTTGTCAGAAGATCGTAAAAGGAGATCACATGGCCCTGGGGCACTGTAACCGTCACAAATGTGAGTCGGTTGCCCAAGCACCTGTATTTTGATCGTGTGGCCTTGGGGACGCTGCAATGGTCATAAGTGTGGAAAATGGTCATACGTCAGTGCTGTTGTAACTTTGAAGAGTCACTAAGCGAAGTGTTGTTGAGGTCTACTTGTACATAAGAAGGCTGAAGTTGTTGCTACCAAGGAATGGTGTTTCTGATGCACAGGTCAAAAGAACGACACCTGGATATCTTCAAACTCTACTCAGCCACCTAGGAGAATACGAACTCCTTAGCAGTTTCTAGAAACAGGTATTTTCCTTACCACGGCTTCAAAATCTTGTTTTGCTTCCTGGGTGTGCCCTTGTTTGAGAAGGATGTTGCCTCGCTGAAGCCGGGCCTGTGGAAGTGGAAAAGATCAGATCCTTCACAGCCAACTAACCTCCCCAAATTAGAACATGGCCTGTTTTTTTGTTTTTAAATACCAGGTCAACACCTTGGAACCAGAATAAACCCACTTTCCCTTAAGATACCGTTGCAGCTTAATGTCAGCTTGGACAAGAGGGAAAAAAGGGTGACAGTGAGAACAACTTACCGCCAGGAAGTCTGGCTTGAGTTCAATTGCTTTCGAGAGGTCTGGCAACGCTGATTTAAACTTGCCCATAGCCAGGTAAATGGTGGCTCGTTTGTAATAGGTAAGGTAATTTTTCGGGTCAATTTCTGGGGGAGGAAAAGAAATCAGCCACAGTGTCAATGTCAACGGCTACCCCAGGCTTGCTGGTGCTTCGTTACCATGCAGTGACAATCTGCCATGGACTCTGGGGAGGGCGGGTGGGAGGAGGGATGCTTGGGGGAAAGAGAAAGTAACTGCTGTATCTCCAGGAGGTGCTGCTTCAAAGTCACCCGGCTGGGAGAAGAAGCAACTGCATACCAACCGAAGTTTGAAGTGACCTTTCTGAAAAACATCTTAGTTGAAACTTGACTGGTCATGGGGGGGGGTGTGCGGTCAGCGACGGGAGGCAGTTAAAGGAGGGAAAAGTTGAACTTAGGGATTTTGCTGTGCGATTCTCAGTTCTAGCTATGCATGACTTCTAATAAAACTATACTTCTCTCAACAATTGGAGCCAAGGATCATTTTGGTTTAGAGGTTTAAGGGTGGGCAGTCACTGTCAGCCATTGTATATCGAACAGGAAGGCAGGCTAACAGATAACCTTGCTAGCATTCTAAACTAACCAACCTGTAGCTGTCTTCATTTGTGATGTGCAACACACTCACACAAAAACCCTAACACAGAAACACATAATGCAGTCCCCCACTGGGCGCTCCTGCCTGAGAATGCAAAATCCTCCCCCTGATTCATCTTGCAAAAGACGCAGTGCCGAAATGGCTACATCTTACTGCAGCAGGAACGGTGGCTCAAGCAGTCTTGAACTGAACCTCATCAGAAGATCCTGTGGTCATTGTGTTGCTATTTGACTTTCTCTACTGTAGACATGTCAAACAAAAGGCCTGGAGGCTGGATGCGGCCCGCAAAGTGGTTTCATGTGGCCCGCAAAGCCATCCTGGAAACAGTGAGGGAATGGCCCCTGCTGCCTTGGCCCTGGCCAGGCTGCCCGGGAGCCAATGTACAATTTTGTGGTGGCCATCTATGCTGAAATGTGTTCAGTCTTCGCTCCACAAGGCCGTCTGGACACAGTGAGGAACCAGCCCCTGCCGCGTTGGCCCCGCCCCCTGGGTGCATGCTGGGGAGGTGTCACCCTTTGTGAGGAATGAAGAAATGGACCATGCCTTGGCGCTTGCCCCGGTCCCATCCCCTTCTGCCAGAGACCCTCAGATCTGCCCCACTCCTGCCCAGGCCCCCACAGGCACCCTTGACGCGAACGATGTAGAGCTGGCCATGCCCACCCAGTAGGCCACACCCACTCCATCCACGCCCACCCAGTAGGCCGCACCCACCCTGGCCACACCCATCCAGCTCCCCAAGAGCAACTGCAATGCTGATGCAGCCCTCAATGAAATTGAGTTCGACACCCCTGCTCTACTGCATTATTGTGAAGTTAAAAAAAGAAGGTGGAGAAGGAAATTGCACCCTGTGATAAAGAAGGGCAGATTAAACATTTGAATAAAAAGACTGAGAGCAGCTACTGAAGGAAAGGAATCTTGCTATTTATCTAATAATAGTTCATCAAATTTATGGAAGGGGAAAACAATTTGCTTCGAAGGAAGCACTATGCAGTTTTTTTTGTCTGCCAGAGACATGGCCTGTTTTTAAAAAAAACAATTTCCCTTTCGGACAGTTTGTATTTCACATCAGAAGATTTTAAAAGTGCTTGAAGTTAAAATAATATTTTTTAAAAAATAAATAGATCCAGGTCCTGGCAGCCAGGCCAACTTTTTAGCTTTTTACTTTTTTTCCTATTAAGCCTGACTACAACACTGTAAAAACACACTGATCCTATTACGTAGCAGATCTGCCTGTTTCGTTGTTATTAACGGTCAATAAGAGATCATCCTTCTTTGCTGAAGAACAGGATAGACATGTTCCAGTTCAGTTCATCTAGATCTCCTTTTTTCAAACTGCCTGGGCTGATTCCTGTATCTTTAAATAACTCCTACTAAGAAATCTGTCAGTTCCTTTTCACAGCTTCTACCCCAGAGAAATTGGACAGTGCCCCAGTGTTAATGTAACTGAATCGGCCAATGCTGCTCTTTTTCAATAGGCAGCTGGCGTCTTAAACTGGTATTCCAAAGCTGGTACTCACCCACTGCTGAATGATAGTGTGAGAGGGCTTCAGCCAGCTGCCCAGCAGCCAGTAGCTTCCGACCCATTTCTAGATGATTGTCAATCTCAGCTTGTCCAGCAGCCAACAAACCTGGAAGACAGGAAGTCATTCAGGAAATCAAGAGCTAGGAAGCATTTCTCAATGATGGTAATTTTAAGATGTCTGGACTTCAACATCTTTGCCAACAGCATGCTGCCTGGGGAATTCTGGGAGCTGAAGGCCTCACATGCTGCCTGGGGAATTCTAGGAGCTGAAGGCCTCATGTGCTGCATGGGGAATTCTGGGAGTTGAAGTCCACACACCTTAAAATGGCTCAGAAACACTGACCTAGATCCTTGATATATTCTTAGAAAGCTGGTGATACAAAAAATTATTTTGCAAACACCAAAGATGTCACCTCGCTAATTTCCTTCCTTCCTTCCTTCCTTCCTTCCTTCCTTCCTTCTTTCCTTCCTTCCTTCCTTCCTTCCTTCCTTCCTCCCTCCCTCCCTCCCTCCCTCCCTCCCTCCCTTTTTGAGGAATCCCTTTCTCTTGAAAGTCACTCTGGCTGCTTCATCCTTAGTAGAAACCAATTATGAAAATACAAGAATAAAACCAGCTATAGTAGGGACAAAAGTAGGCTTAACATATATATAGCATTATTGTGTTGAGTTTGTACACTGTCCTGTCTCGGTAATCTGTGGAAAGAGACTGGCTTAATGAGGTCGGGGCCATATGGATATCGGATGGATGCTAGTAAAAGGGTGAAAAAGCACTTTCTTTGGGGGTTTGTAGATTGCTGCTCTTTCATGAGAACCACAAGAACCCCTTCCCTTTGACTAGTCAGTGCTGAGCAAGATTTGAAAGACTGCAGTTAGGAAATAATACTCAAATGTGCTCAAATCTGAAAACTATCTATTGTAATGTGTAATCTATTGTAATATTTCATGCTATTTGTTCCGTAGAGGTTCTCCTGCATTTGCTCTAGACCCCTTCTGCCTTTCTGTTTAGAAGAAGAATGCAAATGACGAGCTCTTTCCATTCCCCACCATCCAGTCAGAGCTGAAGAAGCTTTTTGGATGAGAAACGAAACATCTTCAAAGAAAAACAAAAAAGTCCAATTGCTCTTGAAAAAGCATCCAACTATGATTTGGATGACGGAGAATCTCCATAGACTTTTTGTTTAGAGGTCCACTGAAAATTTAGATCAAGTTTCTAAAGTTTCTCATTTGAACCATTCTATTTAATTTAACTATATAAATTAGCTGTATAGTTATAAAAACTTTACTGCTTTTGATATCTCCCTACCAAGGATATTCTCCGCTTATAGCCCAGGTTTTGATGGGTCTAAGCTGCAACTCTGTACAGCCCAGTTTAGTGAACATTTATTTCTCTCCTATTGTGGGTTTTTAAATATGACCACAGGTAGTCCTCAATTTAAGACCATATTTCTTTTGCTAAGCAAGACATTCATTAAGTGAGTTCTGCCCCATTTTATGACCTTTCTCGCCATAGTTTTTAAGTGAATCACTGGAGTTGTTAAATTAGTAAGACGGTTTTTAAGTGAATCTGGCTTCCCCATTGACTTTACTTGTCTCAAGGTTACAAAAGGTGATCACATGACCCCGGGATACTACAACTGTCATAAATATGAGTCATTTGCCAACCGTCCTGAATTCTGCTCACCTGATTATGGGGATGCTGCAATGGTCACAAGTGTGAAAAATAGTCATAAATCACTTTGTTTAGTGCCATTGTTAACTTTGAATGGTCACTAAATAAACTGTTGTAAGATAAGGACTATCTGTTTAAGGATAATCGTTATATAGAGCAAATGGGTTCACAGAAGTCAGTCCCATGGGACAGAGAGGAGATCACTAAGGACTAGGAACATGCTAAGGTTTAAAGGGAAGATACCAAGAGAGGAGGATTGGGGAAGAAGAGGCGGAGCCAGCTAATCACGTGGCCCAGAGGGGGAGGTCCTCTCGATGAATGACTGGGCGGAGCTTGCCAAGCAAGATAAAGGGGTATTTGGAGCAAAAAGATTGACAGGAAACGACTGTGGCAACAAGGGGCGGGGCAAGTGGAAGCTTGGTTGCTACGGTCAAAAAGGAAATGGAGGTGGGCTCCGGTTGCTATGGTTACCTGGCAACTGTAGATCCAACAAGACGCACAGCAACGAAGCGGCCCACAGCAGCCTCTTCTCACAGTTGCCCGGACCGAGCCCAGGACCCTCCGCGCTTCGCCCAAGCAGCCCCAGGCTGCGCCACACCGGCTGCTGCCCGGACTCCATGTCCCAGCTCCGGAACCCGCTCTTAGTTCCGCATCCGTTTTCAGGTCGCTGACAGTTCTTTCCGGCCCGCTGCTCGTCTCTCTATCGTTCGAGCGTGAAGATATGGCCGTTCTAGGATGACCATTCGCTCTCGTCGCAACCAACCGCCGTCCAAGAGAAGAGGGGGGGATGGGAATGGAACAGCGGAGCCTGCTTAGCCAATCACCGCACTCTTCTTGGAGAGCCCTAGAACTTCACTGGCCAATCAGAGCTAGAGCAGGCGCGGCTGAGAATCGGAAGACGGTGCTTCTTCGCGGGGGAAAATTTGCAGAATTCGAAACGAGGTGAGATTTTTCAATCACGTGGTGCAATAAAAAAGTGGGATTCCTGGATGTGATCGGTGGGGAGATACTTGCAAGGGATTTTGCAAACTGGAAGAAGGGAAATTACCATATGCATTATTTTAACTAACAGCCAGAAATAATATTTTAAAGATGCCCAATTATTTCCAGCAGAAGCAGAGGAACGAGGAAAAGCACTTGACGAAGAATGTAGTTCCTGAGCCTGTGCAGAGCGCCTCTCCCGTCCTCTTCTCAAGACTCTTCCATTGAAAGCCAGGCATGTAATCAAAACTGAGCAGGAGCCAAGATAGATCATTCTTAACCTTGTGCAGTGTTAAAAAAAAAAATACTAATAATAAGACGGGCAGCTCTTTTAAGGTTGGCATTTCCTGTTTCCCCCCTTTTTTAACAATATAAATTAAAAACCTTGTTCTTGGAGTTAAATGAGCCAAGGGTTGGAAGACTATTGTGTCACTACTGGAATGAGGGTTCTGTGCTTTTCAAGTTGTGAAACCTTTTGGAATGAGTGGGAAGCTGCCTCCCGATCTTGGGGGGAAAAAATCACGGTGGTTTAAAATTTAAAAATGTAAATTCAGCCTCGTGGTGAGCTAGACGGCAAATACATTTAACAAATAATAAATAATTTTAAAAATTTAAAATGGTAGCTGCATTTATATCAATCCACACATCCTGGAACCAAATCTGAAGTTGTGAGCTGTGGTCGAGGCTTGCCTTATTTCTTTAAAAGTGGCATAATGTTTAGAATGTTCTTTTAACATTTTGGGAAAGGAGGAAACGATGGGAAGGAAGGTGAACAGTATAACTAATGCTTTAACAATCATTCTGCATTTAATCTCGGATCATCTCTTTTGTTCCCAGAGAATGTAATAAGGATGGAGCCGGATTCCAAGCGACGGAAGACAGTGGAGCCCAACGGTGCCTCCTCTTGGGAAGTGCAGCCTGTTCTTTCAGAGCAGGAATCACAGGGCATTAGGCTCATGCCGGTCTATGCTGCCCCTGTCCTGGATAAGAAAGAGACCTGTCGCCTGGCCAAAGAGATCTCTGCTGTCTATCCGTTGAGTGACTATCCTCATTTGAAACGTATCCGGGCCTGTCTCTCTGCAGGCAGCTCCCACCCGCTGGAGATGATCTTATGCCTTGCAGGCCTCAACGGAGAGCAGGCCGGCTTGCGGTCTCTCGCTGAACTCTTTCCCAGTGGCCAAGTAGACTTCTGTGGTTTGGGGAAACCTTTCTTGGTTCACGTGCCGGCCTGTGCGCCTTTGACTCGTCCCCAGTATGAGGAAGCTGTGTCGCACTGGCCAGTCTCCTTCCACGAAAACAAGCGGATCAGCCAAGCTTTGAAGGGCTGCCTTTTCTCCCCCCTGGAAAGGAATCGCATGCAGAGTTACATGGAATTGGCCATCCAAGCAGCTCAGCAGGGAGCGAGGCAGGGTATGGAGCCCGTAGGAGCTGCCGTGGTGGACCCGGCCACTGGCCGAGTTCTGGCTGTTGGTCACGACTGTAGAGAGGGCTCCAACCCACTTCTCCATGCTGCCATGGTCTGCATTGACTTGGTGGCTCACAGCCACGGAGGGGGAGCTTACGGCTTCAAAGATTATCCTGCTTGCACTTTTCTTCGTGCGGACAACACTGCCCAATCGCCTCTTTCTCTTGAGGATGGCCTTCCGTACATTTGCACCGGGTACGACATATACTTAACTCGGGAACCGTGCCTGATGTGTGCCATGGCGCTAGTGCACTCCCGCATCCAGCGGGTCTTCTATGGAGCGCCATCCCCTCAGGGGGCCCTGGGCACAACACACCACATCCACAACCGGAAGGACCTCAATCACCGCTATGAAGTCTTCCGAGGCATTCTGGAAGATCAGTGTAAACGCTTGTCGCGGCTTTACGATCACAAGGAATTGGCGTGAGAGAGAATTTCTAGTGCAGTGGTTCTCAACCTTTTTAATGCCGCGACCCCCATTCGAGGACTACTCAACCGGTCGTAAGTCGAGGACTACTCAACTGGTGCAGCACCGTTTGCAGAATGGGACTTTTGGCGGGCTCAGCAGGGCAGAGACAGCCTGGACAATATCTATTGGCTTTTGAAAGCCAATAGAATTAGACTCTATTCAAGAGAGTCTATTCTATTGGCTTTCAAAAGCCAATAGAATAAAAGGGAGTAGCACAGCTAAGGAAAAGGGGGGGGGGAAATGGCGGACTGCGTTGTTTGGCGACCCCGTGAAATGGTCGTTCGACCCCAAATGGGGTCCCGACCCACAGGTTGAGAACCACTGTTCTAGTGGGAATGTCTATGGAGCTTCTAAGTCATCCAGGTCATGGTTCTCCCCAAAGATACTTTTTCACAAGGCAACTGGATTTTCTTGTTTCTCTTTGAAGACGTTTCGCTTCTCATCCAAGAAGCTTCTTCAGCTCTGTCTAGTGCAGGGGTAGGCAACCTTGGCTCTTTTATGACTGGTGGACTTCAACTCCCCAGAATTCCTGAGCCAGCATGGCTCAGCTTGGAAACCTCTCCCTTTCCCCTCAGCTTGGCTGGCTCAGGAATTCTGGGAGTTGAAGTCCACGAGTCATAAAGGAGCCAAGGTTGCCTACCCCTGGTTTAGTGGGAAGCTTCTTACTTTTGATGCTTCTGGTGTTGGTGTATTGTATGTTTTTGAAAAACGATCTCGGAAGGATGGCTTTGTGTTTCTGGTGATTACAGGAAATCTTTGACTTACAACCATTTGTTTAGTGATGGTTCAAAGTTACAACGGCACTGAAAAAGTGACTTATGACCATTTTAGCATCCCCCATGGTCCCGTGATCAAAATTCGGATGCTTGCCAACAGGTTCATATTTATGACGGTTTCAGTGTCTTGGGGTCATGTGATCCCCTTTTGCGACCTTCAGACAAGCAAAGTCAATGGGAAAGCCAGATTCGCTTAACCATGTTACTAACAACTGCAGTGATTCACTTAACAACTGGGGCAAGCAAGGTCATAAAATGGGATAAAACTCACTTATAAACAAACTACTTCACTTAGCAAACGAAATATTGGACTCAATTGGGATTGAGGACTACCTGTAAAACGTCGGACCTTGAGATCAGCAGGTGAGAGAGCCAAAATATAGGCCACCATAATGTAGGGTGGACATAAGCAAAAGCCAGTTTGTTATAGTGGATAAGGCACCAAGTTATGAACTGGGAGGCTGTGAGTCCTAGTCCCGTCTTGTGCCAGTCCCTCTCAGTCCAACCTACCTCATAGAATTGTTGCTCTGGGGAAAACAGGAGGAGGAAGGATTTGTTCGCAGGCTTGAGTTATTTGTAAAAATTATAAAGGTGGGATGCAAATAAATAAATAAACATGGTCAGAGCAATGCTGAAGTAGGGCTAGATGTCGGAATGCCCTGAATGTACGGTAGAATGGTTATGGTTTTTATTTTGTTTTCCATGTGCAACAAATTGTGACTTTGCTAACCCTAAATTTAAATCGTAAGTGAAGTTTTTTTTACTCTTGACTGTTAATTTTTCATTAGTACACATATAGAAAAATTACATTAATTTTTTTTTCATTGCCCTATTTCTGGAGAGCTGGAACCAATTACCCTATTTTCCCTAAAAATATCACTTTGAATGGGACAAATTCAAGCATTTGTGAGATTCATTAACCACACCACTCAAGACCTACCTGTATGTTACTGCTGCCCTACACAGGTGCCTGCTTGCTTTTAATTCGACAATGACAATGACATGGGATGACTCTGTTGGGATTGTATAACCGACAGAGCTGATGTTTTCCACTTTTCTCAGGGCAATCTCCCCAACGATGCAGTATAGCAGGAGTTGTAGAGCTAATTATTTTGCTTCTACTTTTGCGTAAAAATAGAATGAAATACTGTTTAACATCTGTCCTGATGATACTCATAACTTTATGAAGGGGGGGGACGGCCTGTATGTGCCTGAACAGCATCCTGTTTGTTGAAAAAAAATCATAAAAAGTGGATCTATGCACTCGTATCAGCCAAGCTGCTGTGACTGGATATATATCAGACTACTGTATAGGTATTCCTCAATTTAATGACTGTTCAGTTAGCGACCAAAGATACAATGAATCTGTCCAAGGCTATAGGTAATCCTCGACTTACAACCATTCATTTAGTGCAGTGGTTCTCAACCTGTGGGTCGGGACTCTATTTGGGGTCGAACGACCATTTCACAGGGGTCGCCATTTTTCCCCCCCTTTTCCTTAACTGTGCTACTCCTTTTATTCTATTGGCTTTTGAAAGCCAATAGAATAGACTCTCTTGAATAGAGTCTAATTCTATTGGCTTTCAAAAGCCAATAGGAATTGTCCAGGCTGTCTCTGCACTGCTGAGCCCGCCAAAAGTTCCATTCTGCAAACGGTGCTGCACCAGTTGAGTAGTCCTCGACTTAGGACCGGTTGAGTAGTCCTCGACTTACGACCGATTGGGGGTCGCGGTATTAAAAAGGTCGAGAACCACTGATTTAGTGACTGTTCAAAATTATAACAGCAGTAAAAAAAGTGATTTATGACCAGTTTTCACACATCTGACCATTGCAGTACATGATCAAAATTTGGATTCTTAGCGACTGGCTCATCTTTATGACGGCCGCAATGTCATGAGGTCACGTGACCTTACAAGCAAAGTTAATGGGAAAGCCAGATTCACTTCACAACCATGTTACCGAATTAACAACTGCAGTGAATCACTTCATATCTATGGCAGGAAAGAAAGGTCGTAAAATGGGACAAAACTCACTTAGTAAAGTGTCTTGATTAGCAATGAAAATTTTGGGCTCTGGTGGTCGTAAGTGAAGGGATACCTGCACTTACAATTCAGATTTGAAGTTCTGACGGTCGTGCCCCACCCCCGCTGATGTCATGTGATTACAGTTTTGGTGCTCGGCAATTGGCCCAATTTTATGGCTGTTTGCAGTGACCTGTGGTCACGTGACAGTGACGTACAGTGTGTTTTGCTGGAAACTGGTTTTCATTTCTGGTTTCTGGCAAAAAGTCATCCATTGCCGACAATGGATTCGCTTTACAACCACTGTATTCGTTTAATGACCATCACAGAAAAGGTTGTGAAATCAGGCATTGTCACTTGATTAATTCCAGGCTCAACTGCAGTCGTAAATCAAGGAGTATCTGTATTCTGAAAAAATGTATCTTGAGTCTTACATATTGGAGGACGGATGGAAAGCAAACATTGTGTCATCTAGCTGTCCTTTTGGGGTGCCCGCTGATACTGTAGTGACCTTTGACTGATTAATTCTGAAAGTATTTGTAGAGACATTTCATGCCAACAAGCAATTAGTGAACACCAACGTTGAATCCATATTCACATATTTCTTCTGTATTCTTAAAATGATCTGAGCTTCTGGATTTTAAAAGGCTATATACGAACCCTTTGTAAGAAAATAAATAAAATTATAAAGCAAATATTGCAACCAATTATTTAAAAAATAAAAGAAGAAACAATTAGGGCAGCCCATGAAATGATAGGGAAATCCAAGAAAAGGGAGGGAAACAGATAAATCTAATTGGCTGACACCAGGGCAGAATGACCTTCTCACTATTAAGTAAATATTTCAATGAAGTATTTCATATTTATCTTAATGTTTAATCAAAATATTTTAATATGTGGGAGCCGCTCCAAGTATCTTAAAAGTTGCTGTGTTCAAGAGACAATGTGGTTTTGGTATTTGTGAATCAGAATTATATATGCCTCTCCTTGAGTAGTCCTTGACTTACAACCGTTTGTTTAGTGACTGTTCGAAGTTAAAAAGGGACTAATGACCATTTTTCACACTTACGTCCATTACAGCATCCCCATAGTCACGTGATCAAAATCTGGACACTTGGCAACAGGCTCATATTTATGACGGTTGCAGTGTCCCCCGTGGTTAGGTTATCCCCTTTTGCAAAGTCAGTGAGGAAACAGATTCACTTAACAACTGTGACAAGAAAGGTCATAAAGTGGGGCAAAATTCAGTTAGCAACTGTCTCACTTAGCAACAGAAATGTTAGGCTCAATTGTGGTCATAAGTTGAGGACTACCTGTAGTGGGTATCTCCTCTGCCTCTTTAATTTTGTTCAGGGTCTTTGTCAGGGATTGGAATAATTAGATTAGAGTAGAATAACAAGAGTTGGAAGGGACCTTGGAGGTCTTCTAGTCCAACTTCCTGCTCAGGCAGGAAACCCTATATATCAGTGTTTCTCAACCTTGACAATTTTAAGGCATGTGGACTTCAACTCCCAGAATTCCACAGCCAGCATTGCTGGCTGTGGAATTCTGGGAGTTGAAGTCCACATACCTTAAAATTGTCAAGGTTGAGAAACACTGCTATATATCATTTCAGACAAGTGGTTCTTAAAAACTTCCAGTGCTGAAGCCTTCACAATTTCTGGAGGCAGGTTGTTCCACTGGTTAATTGTTCTCACTGTCAGGAAATTTCTTCTTAAGTTCTACGTTCCTTGTCTCCTTGATTAGTTTCCATCCATTGCTTCTTGTCCTGCCCTCAGGCGCTTTGGAGAATAGCTTGACTCCCTCTTCTTTGGGGCAGCCCCTGAGATATTGGAACACTGCTATCATGTCCCCCCTCGTCCTTCTCTTCATTAAACTAGACATACCCAATTCCAGCAGTCTTTCCTTATATGTTTTAGCCTCCAGACCCCTGATCATCTTTGTTGCTCTTCTCTGCACTCTTTCTAAAGTCTCAACATCTTTTTTACATCATGGTGACCAAAACTGGATGCAGTATTCCCAAAGGTGGCTGTCCTCCTCAAAGTCTTTACAATCAGGATCTCCAAACTTGGCAATTTTGAAGACCTGTAGACTTCAACTCCCATTTGTCCGAAATGGTATAGGGCTTCCTGCCTGAGCAGGGGGTTGGACTAGATGACCTTCAAGGTCCCTTCCAACTTTACTATTATTATTATTATTATTATTATTATTATTATTATTATTATTACTACTACTACTACTACTATGGATTATCGCACAGTCAGCCAGATGTTCAGACTGGATTTGGCA